CTTCCGTCAACGGATTGGACCAAAGTGCTCTGTCGTAGATGGACATGTCTGTTGGCTTCTTGTGCAGATGCTTTGACGATGTTTGGGTATTTAATTAGAATTTAATAGATGTTTCTTGTGGCCCAAGTGGTCTAGTGGATAGCGCTTTGACTGGTGTTTGAAACTATAGCTACTGGGTTCGAGCCTCGGTGCGGGGAAAATCATCAATCACTGGGAGATGCAGGTACATCCAGCTGGCGGACGAGTCCTAAATAGGACTAAATTCGCCTTATCCTGGACTCCACTACTAGTCACCATCCACCAATTGACTTCTACACATGTTGTGTGTATTGCTTAGCTGATTTCATTTTATAAGATTACGCATCGTTTCTCAGTAGTAGCCCAGTAATTTCACAATCCTACCACGTTTCCCATAAAGTGTTTTAAGTGTTCGCTTGTCACAATACTATACATTTCAATTTGAAAATTTTTTCCATTAGCTCGCCAAGTTGATTTATCTCTGTCCTAGAGTGATGTTATAGGTGCATAATGAGACTCGAAGCTTGATTCCGATTCAACTCTTCCTGTGCAGTGAGCCAGTTAATTGCCTTCGCCGTACAATTAGGCGTGTTTCTCGTCGAATTTCTGAACATCACCCTGCATAGTGGTGGTTAAGTTGGTTAAGGACAAACAAAATCTATTCACACAGCGCTATTCTATCTCATTCGTCTTGTGGATACAGAACACAAGACTGATTGATGTTAACCAGGCGGCTTTCAGAGTCATTTACCTACTGCATACCAACCAACGAATCTCTATTTCGTTCGCCTTAAGAGTACGACTACTAAATATTGGTGAGGCTGTCTGGCTGGCCGTTGGGAACCATATTAACAAGCCTAATTTGTGTATCCAATAGAAGTTGGTTAGTTCAGACATTATCCTCACCCGCTTGGCCATACATCCAGGTTTGAATGATCCTGAATTTTTGTGGAATTTTCTGATTTTAGTTGATATTCTATTTCCTACTATATCTTTATTATTATTATTATTATTATTATTATTATTATTATTATTATTATTATTATTATTATTTAAGCATCTTTAATGAACTGTGGTAATTCCGTTGTGATCTTACTTTACAAATCGATATTATTTAAGAAACACTAATATTGATATTGACTACTAATCTAGAATGTCGAAAAGGATATTATTTCCTGGCTCAATTACTTTGTGATTTTATTTTGTTAGGCTGTTAATCAATCAGTGACCACATGTTATAGTCAACATGTAAAGGACACTTAATCATTTCAAGGACCCATGTGACTGTCATTCATTCAGGTTTGTGCATTAGTAGAACGTTTCACGTCACAACTGACTATTTCTCTCACCCTGTCTCTCTCTCCGCAGTACGAAATTATGTGTGCAAATCTATTCACGAGTGGTAATCAATGCAGCAGGTAACTAGTTCTCACACTTTTCTGCATCGTAATGACCACCTCTCTCTCTCTCTCTCTTAACACCTGATATCAAATTACAGGATGCAGTAGACTGTTGGTGGTGGTGCTTTTCACACTCAGATTAGTCAAATACAATAAACACAATAAAATTTTTAACCAAAAAAACAGTTGTATGCTAAGCAACTGATTCGCATGCATGGTCATTCTGAAATGAAATATGAGATACCAAGGGGATTTGTGATAATTTAAGATAAACAAATACAGACTGTGGATAGAGTTAGAGTTATTTGTGAAACTCAACTGATACATTCGTAAGATTATGCAAAAATGTAATTTGAGCAACAAACTTATTTACTGAATCAGAGTTAGTTATCCTCAAATAACTATGTAGATAATCACATATATATTTATTTTATTTTTAAGTATTGGTTTTTTTGTAGGGATTTTTGTTTGATTGAGCGGAAGATTTCATCATGAGGTGACATCAGTTGGTTAAAAAGAACCACTGGAAAACCTGGCAGTACGCACCCACTTCACTGGGAGCCTAACCCAGGACCTTCTGGTTACAAGGCAAGCTAGCTCGTAGACCTTGTGAGCCACTGGGACCCAGTCCACAAGGTCTTGGGTTCGAACGCGTTGTAGTGGGTGCGTACTGATGAAGAGTCCCAAACTAGGCTGACGAAACAGCTGTCCAGTACTCCCGGTGGCGGGATTTCCAGTGGTTCTCTAACTGATGTCAGCTAATGATGAAATCCTACATACAATCAAATGGTTTTATCTAATGGAAAATTCCCATTGTAACATAGAGAAAATCAAAACAAGTGATCCATTCAGCGGCGAAGTTAAGCTTTCGACACCACTAACTACCAATCAGAGAATTATCCAATGGGATTCACGAACGATGTCGAATTATCCAATGAGATTCACGAACGCAGTTCAATGCTGTAGAGCGCTTGATTCTTTTCTAATACGCGACCTTACAAGATTACGGTTGCAATTCGAGGAGTACAGTGTTTTCCAGTATTGCCTGGATTTAGGGTTGCTCCGGAAGGAGCGAACTTGTTCGTGTGTTGGCATCATGACTTTAAAAAGCTATAGCAGATCAACTGATGGGTTTGTTCATCGTTGTGCTATGTGTTTGAAGCGTGCTAACATTAGAGCGGATAACCTGATAATTTTAATATTTCGTAGGAACTTTTTTCCCTAGGTCGCATCTCTCCCTAACCCAGAGTTTCTACATCTGCAACTACTGGGTGTTGAAACAGCCGGTGAGAGCAGCAGCTGCCGAGACTGAGAATAGTCTCGTCTCAACAGTTTAGTGGTACCAGCAGTGTAGAGATATTGCTTCGTGTAAAATAGGGAAAATCACTTGTTTGCTGGGTGGATCCCGTTACGAGGACTCATGCGAATTCCATTGAAGGTTTTTGGGGCTACTTGAAAAACAGGATAAGGGCTATAAATGGATCTCAAAAGGATCTCATTTACCGGCATTCAGATAAATATAAGTACACGATGTGGTGTGACTTCTCCATTGACAGTCTTATGCTAAACTTGGAGATGTTTCTCTCACATGTTCGAGAAAGATACCCCTTGTAACCGTTTTATCCTCTTTTTTATGCTTTTCTCTATAAATATACGTTTCCATTCATCATATATGCCTATTTAATATGATTGGTCCGTTCAAAGTCGTTTGCTGATTGGTTGTTAGTGGTGTCGAAAGTTTAACTTTGCCCATTCAGCGAAGAAACTCTTTTCAACAACGAATTTATCATCGAGCTGTACAATCGTATATATATGGTTTTCTTGATGAAGTTATATCCCGAGAGGGAATTGAATCAGAGGTCTGAGTGAATGCATAAAATAATAATAATAATGGTAGTATGAAATGCAATTAAAACTAAAATGTTTGTGATTATAATCATAGTTAAATGTCAAGTGGCAAAATAATTAATGTCATATATAGAGAATAATTCATAGGATGGATCGAACTTGAAAAGGGGACTTAGCTTCCGATATCATGAAAAGAAGGATATCACAGTCCCTGAAAAGAACATTCCCTGCTGCATCTCTGAGAATAGGCTTTAACAGTCGACCATTACTGTTCAATAACCTCCTGAAGGACAAGATCCCGCTGTTGACCAACTCTATGTGAATTTATCAATTTACCTGCTCGTGTGGAGCTAGGTATATGGATCGTTAGACTCGAGTTCTGTCCAACAGTGCAGGAACACTATCCTGCATGGTGGTTACGAAGAGGTGGAAATGAAGCAATAAGAAGCGCGATCATTGAACAACTGGTCGATAATGATCACCCTATCTATATAGCCTCCGCCTTAAAAGGCATCTACAAGGCAAAAAGTAATTTACCCAAATCACTGCGTATCTGCCTCATCCGTATTGCTGATGCCATTTTTGGCTGTGTGAGCAGAAAACGTTCGTTCAGTCATCACCAACTTTCATGGTCTTAATCCCTCTATGCTAAAGTATGCTAATCCCTAATCATATTTTGGCTCTACCAATTTTTCATCTTTTTTCATTTCGTCTATTCAATTTGTATTCTCTTCCTTTATTACAATGTCAATTGTTACTACTATTACTATTCTCACTTTGAACTGTCCCCGGTATTATTTCACTTGTTCCACTTGTCATTGTAAATCAATTCTCCTTCTTTTACACCGTTTAATTCTATGCTATCAAATTTCACACAATATTACTTAACGTTCTTTTTTATTTAATTCGATTTGTCTACTAATCCGATAATTGCACACCCTTTTTCAAGTTCTATCCATCCTATGAATTATTCTATGTATGACATTGATTGTTTTGCCCCTCGTTGACATTTAACTATGATTGTAATCACAAACATTTTAGTTTTTAATTGCATTTCATACTACTATTATTATTTTATGCATTCACTCAGACCTGCGTGTGATATATACATATATATATATATATATACGATTGTACAGCTTGATGATAAATTCGTTGTTGAAAAGAGTTTCTACGCTGAATGGATCATCACTTGTTTTAATTTTCTAAATAGTTTTATAACCAGTCAGTTAGTTATCCGTTATTATTGTAATGTAAACTTTAATTGAATTTTAAATTTTTCCGTCGATTGATTTGACCGAAGTGCTCAGTCTCAGGTTGACATGTTTATTGGCTTCTTGTGCTGATGCTTCGACGATGTCTGGACATGTAACTAGAAGTTAATTGATGAATGATGACTGGCAGTGGAATCCAGGATGCGTATTTCGTCCTATTTCGGACTAGTGGTCACCTGGATGTATCTGACCCAGTGCACAAGAGGTGGCTCTCTTGGCCCAAGTAGTCTAGTGGATAACTCTTTGACTGGCGTTTGGAACTATGGGCAATGGGTTCTAGCCTCCGTCGTGGGAACATCATCACTGACTCACTGTGGAATACAGGCACATCCAGCTAGTGGACGCGTCCCAAAAAGGACAAGATGCGCGTAATCCTGGTCCTGGATTCCACTGCTAGTCACCATCCACGAATTGTAATTGTAACGTTAAAACTGTTACAGATAACTACTAAGTGACTTACTTTCATTAATGTTTGAATACAACAGGATTTACCAGTTCCTGAAGGACCCAATGTCATCATGCCATGACGAACACGTTGAGTTTCATATAATTGGATAACTTTGAGAAACCATGGTGGGTGACTGATTAGATTTGACTCCTCCAGGTTTTGCTTGATAGCTTTTTCGAGTTCTGGATAACCACCTTTGTACAGGGAAAGACCTTAGATAACCGAATAGAATAAGAAATATCAGTTGAGGGGAAATAATATGGAAAACATGCATACGAAAGCAATGACAAATGTGAAAAATGATATGTTCTGGAAATTGTATTTGTTTTGTTTTTTGGATTGGCCTTATTGCATATTGTTCGAAGACATTCGTGGCTGACATTAGAGATGGAAGTGTGTGCTTTTGGAAGTGTGTGGGGGGTTGTTACTCCTCGGTTGCCTACACCACTGTGGAAGTTAAATGATTCTTCGGGTACCTGAAAAAGAAAGAGAGTTCTGTCTTCATTCCTTTACATTCCTAGTAGGGCATATGACTTCTAAAGTTTGGAGTCTCGATGGGTCTTTTATTTACTTATTTCTGCGGGTAGGGTTGTTAGCCTAACACCTAACCTTCTCTCTCTTCCCCCTGGGGTGAGGTTTCAGAAAACGTTGGCATGGAATCTACCTCGGACCTTCTGATTAACAGGTTTTAATGATGGATTCATCAAATTTCGCTAGAACTCGTCAGCTGCTCAGTACTCTACATACACTAATATATATATGTAAATATATACTTTTGAAATTACATTGGGAGATAGAAGACTGATAAGCGAGCAAATAAACTACACTGAATTAGTCATGCAGAAAGACGACAGGTGAGAATGTTTTCCAGGTCATGTTCAAATAGATAAGGGGAGAGAGAGAATGAGAGATCAAAATTAAGATAAATTGCATTAGGCTTCAATTACACATCACTTAGATAAACAATTAGTCATTAGAGAATATAACAAGAATTGCAAACACAGTAATATCAATAGTAATAATTATAATTAACAATAATAATAATACTATTGTTGAAGTGAGTTAAGATAATCCTACTGATAAAGGATAGTTTTAAATGAATCAAGAATAATAATGATAATAATAATAAAAGGTAGAATAATAAGTAAAACGTATTACCATGGTAGATTCAGATTCATGACCATCTCCTTTTGTACACAGAGACCTAGCTTATGAACTTGAATTGCACAAGCCTCCTCTGAGATTGTAAGCATCTTCCTGTTTCTTTGTCTGTCTGCTGACAATAGTAAATGACTTGACAGCGTCGATATCATGTCCGTAGTCCACAAGATGTTTTGTTATTGTTATATTCTCTCTAATGACTAATTCCTTATCTAAGTGCTGTTTAACTGAAGCGTAATGCAATTTATCTTAATTTTTATTTCTCATACTCTCTCTCCCCTTATCTATTTGGACATAACCTGGAAAATTAATAATTGTGTAAAATTTGGGCACTGTGGTAGTAAGCAATTCCATATTAGTTTGTTTATTAGATGTATCACTTTTAATCACACTACTTTGAAACTTGAGTTTTATAGTTTTCTTTGTCTCCTCCTATCTGTCGTATGGGGAGCGGAATTTTCCAGATATCTGTGTGGACAGGTGTTGAATCATTCCTATTACACGTATTCCCCCGTTTCAGTTCATTCGATAAACAAAGCTTCCGTTGTTATCAATCTCTCCCTCACTCCAAACTGTGACATTAGATTTTAAAACTGTCATCCTATCCCATCCTATTGTGTGGTTGTGTGTAACTGCCTATCATGCAGTGCTATAGCTGAACTATTCTCTAGATTTCTTATCTTATTCGGGTCAACCAATCTAGATTTTGTTGCCACGTTTTTATGTTCGGCTAGTCTGACTCACTGACCCTGTTCTACTACTTTGACCTATGTATTTGACTTGACAATCATTGCAGACAGGGTATTAGATAAACTAAATTGTTTTGTTTTGAAGGCTCCACAGGATTTATCCTTCAACGGACAAAGCTTGTTTCTAACTGAGTTTGTGGGGAGGGGTTGAATTCCAGCCACTCTTATCCCTGCCTCGTTAAGAATGTTGCGTAAGGTTTCCGAGGTTCCTTCGTTGTATGGAAATACTACTGATGATTTAGATTCCTTATTGTTGGTGTCATTAATATTATTATTATTATCACTATTATTATTATTATTGATATCATTATTATTGTCATCATTACTATTATTATTCTCATCACTATCACTACTATCATCATTATTTATTTTATTTTTACATTTCCCTACATATTTTCTGACTAATTTATCCAGGTAATCATTAAGTTTCAAGGCTTCTTCTATGTGTCTCACTTCCTGTCTTAGATTTTCCTTGGTACTACTTAGTTTTTTGTGCTCTGTCACTCAAACATTCCAACAATCCTATTTTTACTGACATAGGATAGGTGGGCTGATCGGAAGTCCAAATATGTGTTTGAATGTGTGGGTTTCCTGTAAACACACACACACACACTATTGTGTGTTTAACTTCCCATCTTCTTTCCTTTTTACGTCGAAATCTAACATTGGAAGCTCCCCCGCTTCCTGACTTTCCAATTCATCATCAGTGAATTGATTTGCCTCTACCTTGAGTTATAATGTGTTCGAAAAATCTATATATATCCTGTGTTTTAAGTACAGTGAATGTGTTATCTACATACCTCCACCGCACTTTTGGGGTGGGGTGAAGGTGAACACTTCAATCGCTAAATTTTCCCACCTATTCATGAATATATCTGCTACAACCGGGGATACTGGTGATCCCACGGCAACTCCCTCAGTTTTCTGTATATTTTCCCTCGGAATTTAAAACACAACTATACAATAGCATGGGATAGGATGACAGTTTCAAAATCTAATATAACAGGGTGCAGGGAGGGAGAGATGGCTAACAACGGAAGCTTTGTTTATACAATCAACTGAAACGGGAGAATACGTGTAATAGGAATGATTCAACACCTGTCCACACAGATATCTGGAAAATCCTACTACACCAACAACGACAAATAGGAGAGGACAAAGAAGACTATAAAACTGAAGTTTCGAAGTCGTGTGATTATAATTGATGAAATGATTATGAAGAATAACAAATTTTGTTCGAACGTCGTTATCCAGTAAATAATACTGTTTCATCCTATTCGATCGTTGGAGGCAATCGACAGGAAGCCTTGGACCTAGATTTCGTGCTAGTTGGCACTCGTCAGCAAGGCGTATTTGTAACCTTGAAGGAACTCATGTCCCTTCTGAAATTCGAACCCGCGTCACCCAGTTTCACTGTGTGATACATCTAGTAAATAAAGTAATTTGGAATGAACTGGAAAACATTCTCACCTGTCGTCTTTCTGCATGACTAATTCAGTGTAGTTTATTTGCTCACTTATCAGTCTTCTATCTCCCAATGTAATTTCAAAAGTATATATTTACATATATGTATTAGTGTATGTAGAGTACTGAGCAGCTGACGAGTTCTACCGAAATTTGATGAATCCATCATTAAATCATCCTCGTATATTAATTTTTATTGACTGTTTTAACTTCTGCATAACAGCCGAACATTTTTCCAACGTATAGCCTGGTTCAAATGTCGCAAGAGTGTAGGTTTCAAGTGTTGGTTTATAGGGATGTGATTAGTTACAGGATTTCATCATGAGATGACATAAGTTAGAGATTCATTGGAAAACCTGGGAGTACTGGACAGCTATTTCTTCCCAGTTTTGGACTCTTCATCAGTACGCACCCACCGGGATTCGAACCCTGGACCTTCTGATTACAAGGGGAGTTCGTATACCATTAAGTCACTGAGACCCGACCCGATCCTATGACCAGCCAGTGCATGAATTCTAACTTCGGTCAATTCACGACATAGCGCAACCCCCTAGCCAATGTCTTCGCTAGCGAGTATCTGTCCTCACACCCGACCTGCTGCACACTACTGGTCACACGACTTCTCACTAGAACCCCAGGTAACTACCCGGGGTGAACTAGTGAGCATCTGACTGATATTCAAGTGTCGGTTTGTAGGGATTTGATCAATTACAGGATTTCATCATGAGCTGACATCAGTTAGAGAACCATTGGAAAACCCGCCACTGGGAGTACTGGACAGCCAGCTGTTTCGTCAGCCTAGTTTGGGACTCTTCATCAGTACGGGAAAAAACTAATTCACTTCGAACAGACTCTATGAAGGGTAAAATGAAAAATGAAAAAAATAAAAAACTTACCAGGGAATAAATCATCGAGTAGTGATAAAAACAATGGTTCATCTGGTCCAACTAATTTACTCAAATTCATATCACGTAGTACACGCATTACAGTCTCATATTCTGTATCATTAGGATTAGCACGTTTCACTGCACCCAGTGTACGCAAAACAGAAAGGATATTACGCAGTCCAAAATCATAGTGAATCTTTGATTATGTAAGGATGGGAAAAAATGTGTGTATGTGAATAGAAAAATGTAATGAAAATTTAAAAAATTACACGTTTATTAAATAAAAAAACACTATTATTATTATCAATAAAATTGTACAATCCTAATATTGAAGAGTATTCATTGATAGATAAGGATTAGTGTTCATACTGTACAATACTGTACTTCCGCTTAAAGCGTACAGCTTTTCGAAGAAAACAAAACAAGCATTTTAATAATAATAATAATTTGCTTTATTCGAATACAGTACTTGTGATACACAGAATGGAATTCTCAGCATTTTACTATAATATTGCATCCAGTTTGTACAGTAACAATAAATAAAATTCTACCTAAATTATGGGTAGTCTCCATTAATTTTGACAACAACATGTTAGTATGTCGGTCGGTAGCAAACCAAAAGTGAACAGAATGTTTGAACGTGCTTAGAAGAGTAGATAATAGCATATTTACTGGCGTAACAAAAGGAAACAAAAAGGTCCAGATATACAGAGTGTGAAAGAACGAAGACGAATGCTTTATGTAGATTTTGTAAGACATAGAGGAACAAAACAGCACAGAAACAAAAAAGAGAAAAGGATAAGAAAGAAAGAAAACGTTGTACCTATAAATGCTATGAGTTGGAAAGACGAGATCCAATTGTTCTACTGACTATTTAATAAGTTATAGGTACTACGCCTAATACTTTCTTCTTTATCACACAGAACACGATCCAAGCAGGGTATGGTAGAGCTTTTGTACTTGCTACTGTGAGCATATAGTTTTCTATATATATAGGCTTCTGGTCTGCCTGCCTGATGAGATACAAGGGGAGCGTTGTGAATGAAGAGGGTGGTGGTGTCAGTTAGATAGATAGAATGGATTAAGCCCATTTTTCGCATGAGTCCAAGTGCCTGTCGACCAGAATATTAACACACTGGTGGATTTCAATGGATTTTATACTAATAAGGATATCGTTGAACATGATTTGTCATTACTGAAACAAACAATAAGAATTGTTTATTTGAGGACAATCGTTTTATACGGTTCTCCTGGTACTTTTTTCCTCGTCGTAAGACAGGTGATGAAGACAGTTGATACACCTGAACATTAAATTCTGCAATATGTCGGTCAGAGAAGTAGTTGTAGTATAAGTATAAAACTTGGTCACTGTGTGGCGGTAGAGTATAACTACTCCATTATGGATAAGATTTTATTTTGATAAACTGTCACACAGTGCAGTGAGAGTTATACAGTAATATTAACTGATGATTGAAGAGGCGTTGGTATTAAATAACTAAATGTCCTATAAAATTGATTAGGAAGATCGAAAAAGGCCATAAGCAAAATAAAAATAATTATGAAACTAGTGGTGATAACATAAACAATAGACAATATAAGTCACCTACTGTTATACCATATAAGGAGGGGACATCTGAAACCCTCCCTACGTAGAACCCTCAATAAAGCAGGAATTAGGCTGGTGGTGACATTCAAGCCTACAAACTCACTCAGGTAGGACAAGCTCTGTAGGTTAAAGGACTCTGTCGTTTGTCCCAATTAAACAAAATTATATAATTTACAAAATACCCTGCAATTACTGTGAGATAGGTCAACTACATAGGTGAAGCAGAATAGTAGATGGGGGGTAATCAGATTGTCAGAAGATAAGAATTTAGCTAAGGTAAGAATGGTTGCTCCTACTCATGAAGATAATTAATTTAGAAAAAAGCTCAGCAACTGCACTTCACGCATATTAACACACACCCATACAATAGAGTGGGAGAGGGTTAAGATTGTAAGAAGTAATCTATGTAGGTGGAGATAGACAGAGACTGACTATTGAATCCTGCCTGGTTCATCGAGTCTACACCAAACACATGCAACAGAAATGACTCAATTCAAATACCAGAGATATGCACGGAAGATATTATTACCACCAGTCAGTCAGTGAAATCTGAGGAGGATAATGAATAATCTTAAGTTGTATTCTATTTCGATTCAATTCACTTACATCATCACAACATTCTAACAAGTTACTCACTTATTGTGAGTATACAAAAACACTCTGATTGTAATTGATCAATAACACTCATATTCTTATTCTTATTTCTGAATGTGCATTATCCCATATTACTGATTTGTATTCAAATATCTAATCATCAATTCCACTCATGTGTATATAAATGAAGGAAACAAGAAAGTTGTGTGAGTGAGTGAGTGAGTGACTTGATATGATTATGAGTGGTGATAATAAATTGTGCTCGAAGCGTGTGGTCGCATCAGTTAATATTACTGTATAACAGTACTGTGTGTGTGTGTGTGTGACAGTTTATCAAAATAAAGTCTTATCCATAATGAAGAAAGAAGTATTTGATCTTATGCTCCACAGAACAAGCGATAATAAAACAAAACACTCTTGGTTTACCTGGATAAGCATATTCTACTACTACAACAAACATAGATCATGAGTTGATCACGGATTGATATCAGGTAGAGAACCATTGAAAACCAGCACTGGAGTATTGCTAGACAGCTGTTTCATCAGCCTAGTTTGGGTCGTGCTAAATCACAAATTGATAGAAGTGAGAATTCATGGGCTGGCTGGCTGGCTGGCTGGCCATTGAATCGGGCGGGTCCCAGTGAGTGGCTGAATCGTATACGAGCCAACTTGCCTTGTAACCAGGAGGTCCTCGGTTCGAACCCCAGCTGACGATTCCCAAACTAGGATGAAACAGCTGTCTGGCAATACTCCCTGTTGGTTTTCAGTGATTCTCTAACTGGTATCAATCCGTGCGTGGTCAAACTCGTAAAAACAAAACTATTCCTTACAAAACCCACTATAGAAAATATAGATTAACTACAGAAAGTAGGTAAGCACACAGTGAATGATTACAGATTCCTTCCGCACTTCTAGTCACGCTCAAAGTACTGAGAAGATTATCCTCCGGTTTCTTGTAAATTTAATAGACATTTTAGGTATATTAATATTTTTGTTCGCTTGGGTTCCTAGTGGAATATAGGGCTTCAACTGCACGTCTTCACTTGCTTCTGTCTTCCGCTCCACTTTTCACCTGCATCTATGTTACTCCATACTCTTTCAACTGCTCTTCACATGATCTTCTCCATGTCACCCTTGCACTGACGACCAACTCGCCGTGTGCTTCCCTTTCGGCCTGGTTCCACTCGAGTAGTGGCCTGACGCGCGCGCGATGTCACCCGGCGGCGGCCTCCTCAGCCAGAGTCCAATCCATCCATCTCCACTTTCTCCTGCATATTTGTTGTTGTCGTTGGGCGATTGGTTCTTGTTTTGCTTCGTTTCTTCCCATACTTTCTAGCTGGTGATTCTTTCCCCCCCGGCCTGGCCATCCGATCGTCAGTATAGATTCAGCGAAGGCAGTTGTTGATAAAGGTAACGCCTGCAACAGGCTGTTGGTGGAAATATTCTTGGTGACACACCCGTCAAGTTTCTCATCCGTTCTATACAGAAGAACTGACTGACTTGACGTGTTTGTGTTGAAAATACGACCGACGGAATTTTGTTGTTGATGCTGGTTGAGTGACGAAGATTTCCAGATTGGTTTCATGTTGATGAGTGAATGTGTTTCTCGCCTCGATTTGACATCCTCGTCCGTCCTGACTTCCCGTAGTTGAGACAATGCTCTCTAGATAAGTAAGTGAATGAAGTAACCTCTTTCAAATCCATCCCGTTGATGGTGATTGGCTGCTGGCTGGATGTTTCTGTTGTTGTTGGTCGGTTGGTTGGTTGGTTACTTTCATAACCTCCGTCTTGTCTATGTTCACCTGGAGTCTTGTCTTCGCCGGCTGCTTCTTCGACCAGTTTGATGGTTTTCGCTTGCCTCTAACTCTTCGATTTTGTGTGACATCAAATATAAATATAATCATCGCCGTGCGAAATTCAGGTCTTCTAGTTTCTTCACGTCGGTCCAGGATATCCCTGTCTTCTCGTTTCCCACTGTCTGATGCATACATAATCCAGTTCACCACAATTAGGAATATCATCGTGGGTGATAGTAAGCACCCTTGTCTGACTCCTCTGTTTACTCCAAACACCTCGCTGAGTTTTCCGTTGTGGATCACTTGACGCGTGGTGTTGTCGTACAGCTATTGAATAATGTTGATAAATATTTGGGGTACGCCGTAGTACTCGAGTAGTCTCTAAATTAGGTATATATATTGATTAAAATGATGCTAAGTGAAGTGTCAAGTGAATATTACCTGTTTACTCAGCTGTTCTTCACACAATTTATACAATGTGTAAAACTTTTGTGCTGAAATAATATTCTCAATAAAACCACACGATGCCAGCTTGACGCGGATAATAATCTGCCTATCTGGAACCATCATAGCAACTGTTCTAAAGTTGATTTTCAAATTCTCTGGTAACTCTTGTCTTCCAGCATAGCCAGGATTCTGTAAAAAATAAGCAGAGAAAAAGAAAACCATTTAACAAAGGTGAATGAGTTACCTTCTTTTCTTTTTTTATTCCTTTACACGTTCGCAGTGGAACAGAGGGCGCCTTCAAGCTAGAGACTACCTAGCTAGGTCTAGCCCCATGCACCCAACCTTTCATCTTCACCAGTCTTATTACCAGCTTATCGAGCGAGGTAAAGGAGTGCATTGGTGAGAGGCCGGGGACCCGGGCACCGGACCACATAAGGAGGTGTGGTTGGCGGCGAGCATTCTACCGCTGTGCCATCTTTCAATGAATAGAAATTATAATAAAGAGAAACACTATGGTGAGCGTGAACCATGATAGAATGATGGGTAATCATAGCAAGAAGTTCAGCAAAGATATCTTTTCGGAGATTTCATTCTCAAAAGCTGTACAATCGCATCCTGGTTCAAAATGCATACCCACCGCGTTTTGTGGAGAAGAACATGAAACCAAGGCGAAAAATAGAAGAATACACTTAGTGCAAAAGAAGACACTCTATTTGAGTCTGGAATTCAGGGGAGACCTAGCAGCAGATATCCTTAAAAAAAGAATCTGCAATTTTCTGAAGAAGACTTTTCCGGCAACTGATATTCTCTAGCCTCCCACTACTTCGGAGCAACGGGAAGGAAAGACTTCCTTCCGCATATGACCACTTCAATGTGCATATATCAGTTCACCTGCTGTTGCGGAGCTAGGTACATAGGTCGTTCTCCGCCGGACTTATCAAAACGTGTTAGAGAACATCATCCAGCATGGCTGCAAAGAGGAGGAACTGGTTCAATCAGAAGCGCAATAACTGAACATTTCGTCAATATCTGCCACAGAATCTCAACTGACTCATCATTTAGAGTGATTTACTAAGCAAACAAAAATCTAACAAAGGCAGTCTGTGTGTTTCCGACTTCTTTGTACTGCCGAAGCTCTCGCCATATGCATCGAAAAGCCGGAGCTGTGTGTTCAAAAAAAACTAGTCCAGCCTTTACAACTACCATGGACCTGGTTTGGTATGTTCCCTTATCCTCCAGTTTTTTTGTTTTGTTTTCTGTGTGTGTAATTTTCTCTCTTTGCCTTCATTCAGTTCATCCTAATTTTCCAGTTATACAATCAGTTTGTTTCCATGCTTTTCCTGCTCACATTTATAATTCGTTTAAAATAACTATTTTACAGTTATATCCTAATCCTGTGTAATTTTTGTCTCTATGCCTCTTGTAATTCATATCAAGTTGAAAACAATTATCACCTTCTCTTCGCCTTTAAAACTATTATCTCTCCAGTTATCAAATATTAATTTTGCATGAGTTGTAACTGCGTTTTCTAATCCTATGCATTATTATCTCTAAGCCCCTTGTAATCTATATTCATAACTTCAAACTTTCGTATCAAGTTGACAAATATTATCTCCTTCGTTACTATGTGGAATTAAACAAATAATTAATAATTGTATCCATGTAAACTAATGTTTTATATTGTAGCGGTAAATAATTCCCCAAAATTATTGACCACAGCAATCACTCACCATCGGATGCTGACCACCACTGTTTAAGTCGACTTGTTTAGCTGAAGGCTTCCGGTCAAGCATCCCCGCCATTTGGTACCCCGTCGTGTCACGTGCACGATCTCGAAATATATCACGGAGTTTGGACGATCAATTGTTGGCTTTTGCTTTGTTTTCGGTACGCGAGAATAATTTAGAGGCTGTGTAACAGAATTCCGTCAAACCTCTAAAATATAAATGCGGTTGTACAGATGGTTTTGAGAATGAAATCGCCGTAAAGATCGCCATCTTTTCTGAACTTCTTGTTCTTTTCAATCTAATGTCTCGATGGGTGTTTTCCACGATTTAATCATAACAAGGCATCTCGGTAAGCCACAGAATCGTTAGCTGTCAATTCGAGACCATGAGATGACCAAAACTGACGACAACATTTCCTAGGTTTTTATCAGTGAACAGAAGCATTAGCTAATACCTACCTACCTACCTAGCACTGCTATAATTAACAATCAGTATTTGAAATAACTCCTTATGAACACCTGAAGATTTTACTCGAAAACTTTAAAAAACAAAGGGGGCTATTTGCATTCTTGAATTTAGAGCTTACAAATGACATCCATTGGATCTCAGTTTTTACTGTAGCAGTACTTTTAGATAGACTGCTATTTGAATAGATTTTCCGGTGTTATTAGCAGAGATTCATTTAATTTGTTAAGGGTTGTGGATGATGAGTTGGTATCTCAGTTAGAAAAACAGGGTGGAAGATCATGGTCTACTGGGCAGTTATCTTGCCTTAGCTTGAGACTCTTCAGTGTTATAAACGTGTGCCTGGGTTCGTAATCAATCAAATCCTTGCAAATCAATAGGTGAAATTTAGTTTGGTGCTGACTACCGACTAGCTAGCTCTATACAGGAAGTTAACTAAAGGTTCCATAGAGAGGGAGAGAGAGAGAGAGTTGTGGCCAGTTGAGTCTACTAAATCAAGTGAGAAGACAGTCAGTGGCAGGAATTCGAATTCATAGACTATTGGATTGAAGCCCATTAGCTTAATAATCAAAGAGGTCGCGTTGTAACTGATAGCTCCTGATGGATGGGTGCTTAATGCCAAAACACTAGTCCCCTACTCTCCGGGTATTCAGTCGTTCTCTAACTGATTTAAAAAGATATAGAATGGTCTTATATATGTCCGCAAACCAAGTTCACTTTTAACAGTTTGAAAAACAGTTTGGGCGTTGTGTGGTATATGTTATTCATTATAATAAAGGTTCTTCTTTGTATTTCCCAATGAATGAAAAACAAAACGATATTATTGCTCTTACTGACGTTTGGCTATTTAATGCTGCTGCTAATAGCTTTATCAAAGCACCTATATTAAACGAGAAGAATTTACAAAATCCACTCAGCATATGCATATAACGAAAAGTTAAGAGGTGGGTGAGAAAATGGACTACTTAGGTCAAGTTAAAAGGAGGACATAGTGAAAGTCAAAATAACAATGAAGATCAATCACTAAACCAAATAACAGAGGCAATAATACATCTGTTATAGTATCAAAATAAAGTTTACTAACTTGATCATCGTTCGTCAGCATGGGGTCATTTCTGTGTTGTCAAATTGGTCAATTGGTAGGGATAACAAAACCAGGTGTGTAGATTGTTGGATTTGATCAGTGTGTAAAATTATAAAACAGTGTGCGCTTAGATAATGAAATTGCTTATCACATTTATGTTGATTTTGTCACTTCATGGGGGAGGGGTTGGGGGTGTTGTAAACAGGTCAGACTCTGTTTTAGTCTATCATTCCTATTCGGTTCAGACAACTTGGATTCCACTTCTGATGATATGAGACGTTCTTTGTGATTTCTGAAATGCTTTTGCTGGATGACGATTTCAATATTGTCGAAATCAATTTTGTGGCCTGATTCTATAGCGTGTTGACTAGCTATGGCTGATGATTTTTCAAGCTTTTGTAGTTTTTTTTATTACAGCTTGATTCCACAACATATTTTTGATACAAGTATGGAATTTTCAGCATGTGATATTGGTAGCCCAAATTTTGCAGGCCGACCATAGATATAAAGTGTGCGTCGGCAAGGGATCGAATCTCGGAGCATGTGCATGGACCTCGGCGAGAGTCCTAGCCACTGTGCCACCGACTCAGGATTTCTAGGTGATCGCGGAGATGCTTCACGGTATTCATTTCTTCTGATTACCTTGATTTCTCTCTAGCGATGTTTGTCTGATGTATATCGCATCACATTCCAAGCAAGCATTTTATTTTTTAGACACGATTAGATAGAGAATCTTTAGCAATTTGGTCTTTTATATGGACAAGGTTGTTTCGCAGTGCTCATGTCTGATGTTTTGAAGAAAATTCTAATGTCGAGCTGATTGAGTACTCTTCTGATGTCGTCTGACGTCTCTGCTCTATATGGAATGACGACTGCTGAGATTATTTGGTTTAGTGATTGATCTTCATTGTTATTTTGACTTTCACTATGTCCTCCTTTTAACTTGACCTAAGTAGTCCATTTTCTCACCCACCTCTTAACTTTTTGTTATATGTATATGCTGAGTGGATTTTGTAAATTCTTCTCGTTTAATATAGGTGCTTTGATAAAGCTATTAGCAGCAGCATTAAATAGCCAAACGTCAGTAAAAGCAATAATATCGTTTTGTTTTTCATTCATTGGGAAATACAAAGAGAACCTTTATTATAATAGATATAGAATGGTGTTTTATTTATCCCGCTGATGGGTTTTAACACCAAAATGAACTAAACGAATAAACAGTACTTCTAATAACTTCGAAGTACGACACTGGGGCTATTGTGAGTGGATTGCAGCTACTCATATTATTAATGCGGTTGGTACTTACGGTCTTGTCTATGAAAAGTAGTTTGCAATAATATGAGTTTATTACACAGTTTCGGCCCACCTGAAACTATACAATTGTAACTCATAAGTTTCCAGACCGTAGGTGTTACAAACTTCCTGGAATAATTTGAGTGCCGAGTCAGATTCATTCATGATAAATTATTCAAAGTAATCCCAGTGTGTTTAAGTAAAAATCGAAACAAGATCTGTTTTCTGAACGCATCGCTGTGTAAGCTGTCACAGCTTCTTCAGAAGCAGATTTATTCGGATTGTTATCAATCATCAAAGTATATTGTCAAAACATTTTTACATAAATTGAAGTCAGTTTATTTGATGAAAGTCATTTCTCCATGGACATTTTTACCAACAGCAATATGTAAGCAGTCATCAATCATGTATTTGTAATGACTAATGTCAAATTGTCATTGTGTATACTTTTCTATAGTTGATTTGCAAATATTACATTTGTATGTGTATGTGTGTGTGTGCATGTAAGTCATTTGTCATATGGAACGGGACATCAATTCACATGTGTGATAATCATGATAATACATTTTTTATAAGGTCATGGAGGTTCACAGAGGTTCGTGTTCTTTCTTCATCTGTCTTGCTTCATTAGAAATTGTCATATAGGTGATAAATCTATCCCTTCTCTCCTTCCTACTTACTGCATTCGATGTGGTTCAAATGTGCACGGTTTCAGAGGTCAACCTTTCTTTATGTGTTGAATGAAATCTTCTTCCTAGAATTTCGACACTATTGATATCAATCTTATGTCAGCTGTCCATAGACAGACAGCATGCATTGCTATAGCCTATCTTTTCGCCAGACTTTTTAATTCTACTTCATTTCTAGGCCGGGACGTTTCGTGCATAGTCTATGTCCATTCACTCTGACCTTCACCTGGCTACTGCTCTTCCCCACTCTATATAGCAAGCTTCACATTCTGAACACTTTATCCTATAGACACAATTACTTTGTGGTTCGAATCCCGGTGGGTGCGTACTGATGAAGAGTCCCGAACTAGGGTGACACAGCTGTCCAGTACTCCCAGTTGTGTTATGACGAGATTTCAAGCTACTGAAACTTTCATTCCTATTGGATGGTCTGATGGGAAGTTCAAATACTTGTTGGAATATGTCGGCTTTCTGTACATTAGTGAACTTAAGTTTCTCGTCAGTTTGTCCATTGACAATTGACCTTCAAATAAACTGACTTCAATTTATGCAAAAAAATTTTGACTATATATTTTGATGATTAATAAAAATCCGAATTATTCTTCCCATCCAACCTTTTGTATGGTTGTGTGTAATTGCATGTATTGAGTGCTATAACTGAACTATTATCTAGATTTCTTATCTTATTCGGGTCAAACAATCTAGATCTAGCTGCTAGGTTTTTATGCTCAGCTAATCTGACTGACTGATCCTGTTATACTACTCTGACCTATGTATTTGACGTGACAATCATTCCAGCAGGCAGGGGATTAGATACACTAAATTGTTTTGTTTTAAAGGCTCCACAGGATTGATTCTTTCACCGACAAAGCTTGTTTCTAATTGAGTTTGTGGAGAGGGTTTGAATGCCAGGCAATTTTATTGATTGTTTGTTAAGAATTCTGTGTAAAGTGGAATTACTACTGATGGTTTAGATTCCTTATTGTTGGTGTTGTCTAGCGCATATGTGACATGCATGTCATCATTATTGTTATTATTATTATCGCTATCACTACTATTGTAACAACAGAAGACAAGGGCCAGGCAACAGATCGTTTTATTATGAAAATCAACACGTATTTATACATATTTCAACTACATTATTATAGACAAGCGCAGTCATCTGATTGGTGGTTTATCAGAAGTTAGGTAGACAAACGCAGGCTTCTGATTGGTTGTTTCGGGATTCCTTGACAAATAGAGTTCTCTATCTGCGAATCATATTTTGCCACGTTAACTTTGCTGTGATTGGTTGTTGACTCAGCCTTGTTCATATTTTCTCACGGCCCATATTAGTGACCTAGACCTTAACGTAGATTAGTGCCAACCAATCGGCTAGCAGCCTGCTCTCACCACACTATCACTATTTACTTTATTTTTACATTTCCTTACGTATTTCCTGACTAATTTATCAGGGTAATTATTGAGTTTCAGGGCTTCTTTTATGTGTATCACTTCCTGTCTTAGATATCCCTTGGTACCCCTCAGTTTTTGTGCTCTGTCACTTAAACATTTCACCAATCATATTTTTACTGACATAGGATAGGTGGGCTGATCAGAAGTCCAAATATGTGTTTGAATGTGTGGGTTTCCTGTAAACTTTCCTGTTTCCCGTGAACTTCCCATCTTCTTTCCTTTTTACACTGCAATCTAACATTGGAAGCTCCATCCCCTTCCTGATTTTCAAATTCATAAGTGAATTGAATTGCCTCTACCTTCGAGTTGAAGTGTTCGAAAAATCTATCTATATATCTTGTGTTCTAAGTATAGTGAATGTGTCATCTAAATACCTCCGCCATACTTTTGGGTTGGAGGTGAACGCTTCAATTGCTATGTTTTTCCACGTATTCATGAATATATCTACTAAAAGCGGGGATATTGATGATCCCATGGCAACTCCCTCAGTTTCTTTGTATATTTACATTTAAAATTTAGATACTGTGGAAGTCAGGCATAGTTGTACTCCCACCATTATGCCCTCAAGTGGCACTTTTGTCCCAAGTTCGAGTTCTTGGTCAGAAATCAGTTCGTTTCTGACTGTCTCTATAGCTATATTTATTGGTTTATGTGTATATAAACTTGACAACGTCAAGACTAACCTTTTTCTCTTCATTATCTAATTTCAAATTATTTAATCTGTGTTTTAGTTCATAAGAATTAGTTAGTCTAGATTTTGAGTGGCTTTTTAGGGGATTTAATACCATGGCTAAGTATTTAGATAATTCATAAGTAGGTGAGTTTCTAAAATCAACTATAAGCTAAATAGGGTATCTTGACCTATGAACTTTAACAACACCATACATCCTACTGGGGTTATCAGTTTTGGGCATTAAAATAAACCAATTGGACTCACCTAGAAACAGCTTCATTCGGCGAATAATTCTGCTGAAGAGGCAGTGGCTGCTTACACATCGAAATAATCAGAAAACAGATCTTGTTTTGATTTTCTTAACACTCTGGGATTAATTTAAATAATTTATAATGCATAGTAACTTAGTTAAATAAAAACACTGACAAAATAACAATGTGCGCATTTTACAGAAAGTCTATACTTTCTATGTAGTTATATTACACTGAACACATACCATTGTTAAAAAGATGCCAAACTCTGGATTCATATCTATTGTCTCACCATCGGTAAACACAAACTGTGACTTTCTTTCCTTTTTGCATGTTAATAAGATGGCAATCTGTTGAGCAGCTACGGATAATACAGGTAATTCAATACGATTAAATTCATCAAAGCATCCCCATGAACCAGACTGGGCTAAGCCTTTGAATATTCTGCCTAAACCACGAAAATCCATTTGATCTGAACAATTGGAGACAATAACATATTTCCCCAGACATCTGCCCATATCTTTGACTGTCTCTGTTTTCCCAGTTCCTGCTGGTCCAGCCGGTGAACCACCCATAGACATACCGATTGCTTGTGCAAGGGTTATATAACACCTAAAAAAATTATAACGCCAGAGATTGATTATACATTGCAAAAATATTCATTCAGACATCTTCTATAAAACACAAAATATAATTGAGCCAGCAAAGAATATCCCCTTTTCGATCAATTCCTCCTCTTCTCGCTCTACGATTATATACACTCACCTTTATATACACAGAATATTCTAGATTAGTAGTCAATAACAATATCAGTGTGTTTGTTAAATAATATCGATTTGTAAAGTAAGATCACAATTACCACAGTTCATTAAAGATCCTTATATAATGTCTGTCTGTCCGTCTGTCTGGATTCAACATAGAACTTGGCACCAAAGTGCAGCAGTTCGACTTGCCACGCCCCAAATAGCACACAAAGGTAGACAAGAAGATGAATGAAGAGAATCAATTGAGTTTGACAAGTATAAGAGTGAAAAAGAATGGGTAATGGTAGAAAGGAATATGAAAGATTACAGAGACTGAATACATCTGCGCCATTGAAAACGATTTTGAACCATGTGTCACCTATTGTCTCCAACCATTGATTCCTAGCGTCCCGAGGACCCCAACCCAGAAGTTTGCATCTCCCTACCTGACTCAGTTTAACTGTCAAGGATTTCATGGATTGGTGCCATGTTTTTCTTTGGCCACCACTTACTCTTTTCCAACCTGCACCTATATCAGCTAGTAATGCCCGTCGGGGGAGGCGATGGTTAGGCATGTGCAGCACGTCACCTAGCCATCTCAATCTATGTAATTTTATAGCCTCGTCGATTGATTTTCCCTCTTTGCCCAACACTCTTTGCCTAACGACAACATTACTTACCTTATTATACCACCTAACGTGAGAAGGAGATCGTAGACATCTATGGTCAAAAACAGTCAACCTTTTCATGTCTTCAACTCCTATTGGCCATGTTTCAGAGCCATAGAGAAGGATGGAGCGAACGGCTGAGCAGTACACACGTCCCTTGATTGATAGCCGGATGTCACGCCTACGCCAGAGATGGTGTAAGTCAGCGAAAGCAGCTCGAGCTTTTTGGATCCGTGCTGAGATTTCGTCGCCAATCAGTCCGTTGGTGCTAATACAACTTCCCAAATAGGTGAAGTGTCCAACATGTTCTATCACTTCACTCCCTATTACTAAGCTAGGAGTTGACGTAGTCCAGTCCTGTAGCAGTATCTTACATTTTACAGTCCTTAAATAATAATAATAAAGATAAAGTAGGAAATAGAATATCAACTAAAATTAGGAAAATTCCACAAAAATTCAGGATCATTCAAACCTAGATGGATGGCCAAGTGGGTAAGAATAATGTCTCAACCAACCAACTTCTTTTGGATGCACAAATTAGGCTTGTTAATGTGGATCCCATTGGCCAGCCTCACCAATATTTACTAGTCGAACTCTTAAGGTAAACGAAATTGAGATTAGTAGGTTGGTGTGAGGTAAATGACCTTAAAAGCCGCCTGGTTAACATCAATCAGTTTTGTGGTGTGTTCTGTATCCACAAGATGAGTGAAATAGGATAGCGCGGTGTGAATAGATTTTCTTTGTCCTTTACTTAACCATCCCAAGCAAAATACTAGGCCGCATCATGCTGGAGAGAATCAAACTCGCCAACCTGGATGAAAACTTCGACCGCAACAAGCTGGGTTCAGGAGAAACAAGTCATGTATTGATCAAATCGCCACTCTACGGATCATTATTGTTCAAACCTTGGAATGACATTCACCTCTCTATCTCACTCAACTTCATCGACTTTGAAAAGGCCTTCGATAGCGAAGCGTCAATCGAGAGGTGATTTGTCAACTACTTCGCTACTACAGGGTGCTACCGACAATTATACATCTCATCCAACAGTTAGTTGTACAACAATGCTGCATGACAAGTAATCACCCACAACTGGAAACTTACGGAATCCTTCAAAGTGAGGACTGGAGTGAAGCAAGGCTGTCTACTATCGCCAATGATTTTCCTGATTGAAGTAGATTGGATAATGGGACAGAAAACGGGCAAAGAGGAAACAGGCAAAAAGTGGACTAACACAAAAAGAGACTTGGAGGATCTGGACTTCTCCGACGATATATATCTGGTTTCCCACAAACTAAAAGATATGCAAGTGAAAAGCAACAAGTTGACAGAGAAAGAAGCATCAAAGATAGGAAGGACTTCAGGTGAACAGAGAAAACAGAGGTGATGAAGATTCCTGGCCAACACCAGCAGCAACAACAACAACAGACAGCAATCAGCATAAATGGGAGGAACCTGAAAGAAACAACATCCTTCACCTAACTACCTACCTGGGAAGCATCGTTTCAACTACAGGCGGACGGAACTGACGAGGATATCAAAGCCAGAATCGGAAAAGCAAGACAAGCTTTCATTACTCTCAAGTCTGTGTGGAAGAGATGAACAGCAATTAGCATCAAAAATAAGATCCGGATTGTCGACTCCAATGTGAAGTCAGTCAGTGCTACAATACGGATCAGAGACTTGACGCGTAATAAAGAGCATCTCAAACAAACTACAGACCTTCACCAACAGCTGGTTATTTTCGCTCAATACTCAAGATCAGATGGCTAGAGAGGATCAGCAACAGGGATCTCTGGGAACGAACCAACCAGGAACCAATTGTGAAACAAATAAGCAGGAAGAAATGAAGATGGATGGGCCGTACGCTGAGGAAACCATCAATTGACATCACTGGACAATCCATTGCTCGGGTGGAACCCGAAGGGGAAGCAGCGAGTTGGTCGTCAGTGCAAGGGTGACTTGGAGGAGGTCACGTGAAGAGGAGATGAAAGCATGTGGGCAGACTTGGAGCGGGGTGAAAAAGTTGGCAGAAAACAGAAGGCGATGGAGATGCGCAGCTGAAGCCCTCTGTTCCTCTGAGAATTAAAGGAAATAATAATAATAAGAATTACTTAACCAACCAACCCCTGTGCATGGTGATGTTTGGGAATTCGACGAGAAACACGCCTAATTGTGTACGGCCTATACAAGTAACTGGCTCAATCCACATCAGGAGCAGTTGAATTGGTAGATACATATGGAGGAGGAGGCGAAATTAGGCAGTATCTTTTACTCCGGAATGAACGCCTAAGAGGAGTGGTTTCGAAGACACAGCGTAATTCGGAAGCAGCACTGAATGCTGTTTTTACCGCCTCATTTCTAAGGTGCTGTTAGCAGTATCTCGCTGTTTTTGTCCCCGAGGATCTGCATTTGTAAGAATAAGACCTTCCATTTTCTTATCAATAAGACATTGTAATCCGGATCATACTTTACAAATCTATATTACCTAAAAAAAACACCGATATTGTTAATGACTACTAATCTAGAATATTCTATGTATATAAACATGCATATATACATAATTGTAGAGCCAGAGGAGGAGGAATTTATCGAAAAGGGGATATTCTTTGCTGGTTCAATTATTTTGTGTTCTAGAAATCGATTACACAGAAAACAGAATTAATAAGTGCGACATCTGTGTTGTCAACTATAATGTGACACAATGTCATTAAAAGATTAAAACCTCACTTTATAAATTTATACATTAAGTATAATATTTACTATTCTGTTATATGCAGTTTCCAAAGGATATATATGTACCAAAGGGGAACCGTTATACAAGAGTTTCGCTAATCTCATCAGTGAACAATATTCACAAGTTAAAATGCAAATATATATATATACACCATGGCAGGATTCTTTTTATATATATTGATGTCTCTTTATAATATTATCTATCAACAACCGGGAATTCGAGGTGTTCAACCTGCTTACTTTTCATGATTGTTTCTTGTGTTAACAGACAACAGGCAGACAGTCAGTCCACTTTGACCTACTTTTCGTACTGGATTGCATAATATTAGGCAGGTTTATCTACAGCGTCTTAGAGAAGTTCAATACGGTTAGTCAAGTTGAAATTGTCTCCGGTACTTCTGAAGTTAGAGATTTCAAACGTAAATAAGCTGTGGTAGAGTGCAACTCTTGCAGTTATAAAAATGAAGGGCAGCTGGTAAGCTATAAATGAAATGTTGACTGAAATGTGTCAACCCAATGTTACATTGTTATTATTATTATTATTACTTATCATTGTCTCCTTTAATTCCTAGAGGAACAAAGGGCTTCAGCTGCACGTCTCCATTGCGTTCGGTTCTCCAACAACGTTTTCACCTGACTCCACGTCTGACCACATGCTTTCATCTCCTCTTCACACCACCTCCTTCTCTTCCATGTCACCCTCGCATTTTCAATAATCATGCTTAGACTAAGCGGTCCACGGGAAGAGCAAACTCGAATTAACCAGGGTGGGTTTAGACGAGGAAGCAAGAGGGTGTAATGAGTACATCTCCACTCTTCGAAAGATTCTAGAGAACAGGCACACTTACTGTTGGCGTCCAACAATCGCCATATTTCTTGACCTAAAGGCGGAATTCAACCAAGTCGACCGAGAGGTACTATGGCGATGTTTGGGTGTAAAAAGAATGCCGAGGAAATACATTGCGCTGATCAAGGAACTCACTCTACTCAAACTCATGCAGTTCATCAGGTAAGAGCTTACAGCCAGTTGTCATCTGAAATGGTGACAACTAGTGATATCCGTCATGGATGCCCCCCGTCCCCATTTCTATTCAATTTCATCATAGATGTACTAATGGACTTAGCCCCAAGTGACTTCACAGACTCACGGATTGACTTTTTACCAGGGAATAATCTTGTTGACTTAGAATATGCGGATGATATAGTCTTTCTGGACGAGGACGCTGACTAAATAGAGCACAGTCTTCTGAACACCTTGAGCTGCAATCTGCTAATGTTTCACAAGCGATTCACTCCTGCTGCCGAACGTAAGATGATGCCACAGGATTGGACTAAATTGACTCCTAGCTTAGGAGTAGGGAGTGAAGTGATCTGTGGGGCTTGTTGAACACTTCACTTATTTGCGAAGTTGCATCAGCCAATACCAGTGGGTTGACCTCTGACGAAATCTCAGCTGGGTACGGATACAGAAGACTAGTTTTGAATATGCCAGTTTACGCTGTCTCTGGTGTAGACGTGATATCCGGCTGGCTGACATTCGATCAAAGGGTGGGTGTACTGCGCAGCAGTTCGCTCCGTCCTCTTTTACGGCTGGCTGGCTTTGAGATGCGGCCACTGAAAGTGGAAGACATGAAAAGCCTTGCCGGCTAGCTGTCGTGGATCATAAGAGCCTGCATTCTATCTCCCTTCCGCGTGAAGTGGTATAATAGGGTGGGCAATTTTGAGGTTAGACATCGGTCGAGTGCTTGGTAAGTAGGAGAGGAAATCAATCGACGAGCCAATGTCTATAGGTTGATCACTGATGAAATCTCAGCACGAATACACCAAGCTAGTTTCGAATATTTCATTTTACACCATCTCTGTCGTAGACGTGATATTTGGCTGGCTGGCTGGCTGGCTGTCCGGCTGTCGATCAAGGGGCGTATGTACTACACAGCAGTTTGCTCTGTCCTCCTCCCTGCTTGTGAGACCTAGCCACTGAGAGTGGAAGACATGAAAACCCTTTCTGGCTAGCTGTCTTGGATCATAGATGCCTGAATGCTATCTCCCGTGTTAGTTGGTGGTATAATAGGGTGAGAAATATTGAGGTTAGACATCGGTCGACGGGTAGGTAAGGAGGAGGAGAGGAAATCAATCGACGAGGCTGTAAAGCAGTTACATCGACTAGAGATGGTTGGGACATGTATAACGTATGCTTAATCATCGCCTTCCTAGACCGATGAGTAGCTGACCGATGTTAGCTGACTGACACAGGATGGATCGGGTTGGAAAAGATTTGGCCAGTGGTGGTGGTCAAACCAAAACATGGCTTCACCAGTTAATGAAATCCACAACAGTTCGTTTAAGCTAGCCAGCCACGTAGAAAGGTGTGAACTTCTTCACTAGTTTGGGTCCTCAGGACGGTCAACATCAATGAAGGCTGGAGGCGATCGGTGATGTAGCTGGCTGAAAATCGTTCTCAAGGGATGACTGGTGCAGATGCATCCAATCCTTGTGACTTATAATACCCAATGAAACTATAGTGTCCTCTCATATTACTATTCTTCTTGCCTCATATCTCTGTTAAATGTCTCTATTTTGAATTTCATTTTACTTTCTTGCCTGGCTTTGTGTGCTACAAGGAGGGAGTGTGGGAACTTGAACTGCTGCACATCTGTGAAAGGTGGTTCTATGTTGAAACCAGTCAGTCGCTCGGTCGGTTCTCTACTATCCGGTTCAACTGGTTGTCTTCAAAGTAGTCCCCCAAGCTTTCATTTCTTCCCAGAATGATATTTTTCATGTTTTTCTCTTGAGCTCGCAGCTCATCGTTTTCTATTCGTTTTTGATTTGAGAGTCCGTCTAACATATATGAGATGTCTCCTGAATATTTTCTCGGCACTTATTCAAGTCAAATTATGATGAGTGAATTATGAACAGTAGAAAGGCATCTGAATACATGTGAGAAATGGTCTAAAACCATGCTCTCCGACCACCAACAGCCCCTCTATTCCCAACTCTCTCCTTGCATCTCATCAGGTAGAACCAGAAATCAGTACAAAATAATATATGCTCGTAAAACCAAGTATAGGAACTCAACGATACCATATTTGGCCAGCCCGTGTTCTAAGTGACAGAGACAATGTTAAGGGCGAAACCTATGACTTGCTTTGTTGTTAATAACATAATTTTGGCCCTTTTATTTCTCCCTTATACTCTTTTATTTGTACTCTATAGTGAACAACCTTCTTGAACATACTTAGCTACCTGAAATTATTATCATTGGCTTACTTTTTTATTCTTTATTCTATTCCTTCTTTTGTGTATCTACTAGTCCCGACTGTATTAGCACTATGAGTATTACAAAATTATCCTGCCAATAACCTTCATGTAATATTAGTTATGTGATTGTTTTTGTTTCACTTTTTGTTCGGCAATACTAAAACTGACAATTTTGGTTGTGAACGCCGTTATCACCATCCTAAAATTTTTGTATTATGCAGGATTACTCACACTACCACAACAAACACTGCACTAGTGCTGACAATAAAAATAAAAAACCCTGAAATGTTTATTTTATGATTGTTTAGTGTTGTTCAGCAGAATTAACTGATCATCTTGGCGATAAACATTCTTGAATATCATTTCACAACTTCCTGTATGATTATAGCTTTTACTGTTCACCACGCATAAACATATCATAGCTTCCACTACCCAATACTGAAATATTATTTATTATGTTGTTTATTTTCCTTTCTACTTCTTGGTATTTTTTTCGCATTTTTTTGTTATTTTTGTTTTTGTTGTTGTTCTTTATATTTATTTTTTGAAATACTCCTTTAAATGTTTGATAAAATTAGATACAATATTGTAGAAAAAGTGCTGAAAATTCCACACTGTACCACTAGTACTATTTCTGGAATTAAAGCAAATTATTATTATTATTATTATAACGTGATGTGTTCTTTTACTGCTATAATTATAAATTACAAAGTTGTGCAGCTAACCTATCCGTGAGTGGTGTGACTACCAGTCTTTCTGTACACCCGATAAATTCATCCTGATAAACAAAATTCACATCAGTTATTGAAATTAAACATGCATCTGAATCTTCCAGATAGTAGAAACGTGTTTGTTTCAACCAGTCGAAATCTGTTGGTGATTTGATACGATCTTTAACCTGTGAAGAAGTAAGTAAGCACAGTGTGTGAACAGCATATAGCAAATTTTACATAATCAAATGTAATTATGATAAAAATGTATATATCTGATATTTTGGGGATCAAATAAAGCTTCCTTTTCTGGGAAGTTCATCTCCTGCGTTCCACTTTCGATTTCCAATTAATACTAGGAGAGAAGATCCTTATAATAAACCACATAAAAAATCAGCTTCTTCAGGATGTCAAACTTCAAGGGATTATCAACTGTTGATTTTTGTAGGGATTTTGTTGGATGGGCTGAAGGATTCCATCATAAGCTGACATCGGTTGGTTAGAGAACCATTGGAAAACCACCACTGGAGTACTGGACAGCCAGCTGTTTTGTCAGCCTAGTTTAGGACTCTTTATCAGTACTCACCCACCACCAGAGGTTCAAACCCAGGACCTTCTGTTTACAAGGCAGGTTGAAGGTGAGGCAGTAACTCATCGACGGAGAAGACATTGAGAAGTGGCGGCACTATGTCGTGAATTGGCAGAAGTTAGAATTCATGACCCGGTCGTTGAATCGGGTCCCAGTGGCTCAATGGTCTACGAGCTCGCTAACCTCGTAAGCAGAAGGTCCTGGGTTCAAAACCATTGTGGCGGATGCTTACTGATGAGGAGCCCCAAACTAGGACGAAGCAGCTGTCCAGTACTCCCAGCGGCGGGTTTTCCAATGGTTCTCTAACCATCCAATCAAATTTATTAATAACTGAAATGGTGAAAATATCACTCTAAGTGAGTAATTCAGAGTCAGTCTCTGGTAATCGATCATAAACTTCAGTGTACTATGCAAAGAACGTATGAATTAATAATCTTTTCGGCGGTATTCAAAACGGACTACATGAATTATCAGTTTATTTTATCGGAATACAGACTAACTTCTGCCCAAGAAAAAAGTATATAATAGATATCCTCCAAAATTCATCGAGAAGAACATAAAGTTAAAACAAAAGCCTGAAAGAACCCAGACGGCGCCGAAGAAAATGCTATATATGAGTGTTGAATTTAGAGCGGATATCGCTTCTGAAATCCTGAAGAAACGCTTTCCGCCTGAGCCATAGATCAATTTCTACAGCCGACAAATGATCAATGGATGTATGAAGGATAAACTACCACTCTGAACGGGCCTCTTCAGTATGTGTTTGAAAATTCACCTGCTCGTGTGAAACTAGTTATATTGGTCGAACAACTTGGCACCCACTTTCCAAGCGCATCTCTGAACATTATCCGGCATGGTTAGCAAAAAGACAATGCAAAACAATTACTAGCTCAATTCTCAAGCATTTGGTGAACTCAGGCCACATAGTTCCACCAGAGTCATCTTTCAAAATCATCTACAAGGTGAGTCCGAATGGTAGAAAGGGAGCCAGATTTCGGCTTTTGTGTATGGCGGAGGCGCTGCCAATTCGTCAATGCAACCCCGAACTCTGTATGCAGAAAAAGTTTGTCCAGTCTCTTATTCTACCTTGGTCTTAATCCCTTCACTAGTCGTTCCCTGTGAAGAGAAGAACTTTGATTGTTTCTTCCCTTTCATTTCCTTTTTTAAATTTTACTATTAGTTTCCTTCGGCTTTAATAATTAATTCATTATTATTACTCTCATATGCTCCTTTTGTGTATTTTCTCACCCTTTTCACACTGTACACCATTCGAGGTAAACTTATTGGTCGAATTTACAACACTTTTTATATGTGTGGCGTTCATCTGTAGAAGAACTTCACAGTGTACAGCATGTAGAATAGATGTTGGTCTCATACAAGCAACGCATAAAATCGAATTATCTTCTAGGCTGACGGTCTGACTTAGAAATACGGTGATTAAACGCTGTTACACTAGTTTGTAGAAAAATCTTTGTCTGGACTCGCTGTTCAGTAGGTATATTCATTCCTCGTCTCATTGCTCAAGTTAAAAAAAATTAAGAATAATAATAATAATTTTAACTACGACAACTACAAAGTATCAGTAATGAATGGTGAGAAAACATTCAGATACTGTGAATGTTTTTCATAAAATCACACAGTTGGTGAACAGAGTAAAAATTTCCTGGAGTTCTAGTCAGAAGTCGTGACCATTGTGAGGTCCAACCAGTAGTCAAGTGTGAGGATGGATGCCCCACCGATGCCCATTGATTGGTTCGTGCCAGTTGCGCTAAATAACGAACAAGAATTAGAACAAGACATATAAGCGAACAATATTGTTTTCAATTAGATCTTCTTCAAGCTTTACTCTAATTTACATAGACTTATATATATATATAAATATTTTTAACCAATGACGGTGATTTTTGTGGATCAAATAATAATAATAATGTGGTAAGTGTTTTGAACAAATATAGGCCGAACAACTAGACAGCTTAACAAACGCATTAATGAGCATCTTTCTTCATGGTTCGGAAAAGGTCAAATAAAATCTATACGAAGTTCTATTTCGGCTCATTTGATTGATGATAGCGGTCACCAAGTGGACAAAAATAGTGCCGCCTCCAAAGTTATCTATCACATTCCATCGAACCACCTTTCGAACGGAATCAGAACCCGTCTTTTACACATAGCCGAAGAAGTTATGGGAATTAATTCGAGAGAACAATCCTAGTGTCTTTGCATACGACAAGAGAAGTTTGTTCTACCTTTGTCTCTCCCTCGCTTAGCCTAGGTGAATTCTATTCAAAACCCTTCCACGCACCCTTTCTTATTTTTCATCCCCTTCACACTTTTATGATATTTGTCTATTTGAACTCTGATTATATCTATCCACTTCACCTACTTTTTGTATTACATAACTTTTAAGATTTGACCTAATTTGTTTATTTATTGAATTGTCTACGTATACACACACACATACATATACTACCTTTGTTATTCTTATCGCCACCTGTATAAACCTTATTATCAGTATTTTGTTATCATTATAATCATCGTTATTAATTTCGTTCAAAACAATTACCCCATTATTATTATTACTATTATTTGATCCACAAAATCACGGTCATTGGTTAGACTTTGTTTTATATATAAGTCTATGTAAATTAGAGTAAAGCATGAAGAAGGGGATCTAATTGAAAACAACAATATTGTTTGCCTATCATATGTCTTCTTCTAATATTATAAATGGGAATATTTAAAGAATTGGTAGAAGTTAGAATTCATACACTGGCTGGCCATTGAATCGGGTCCCAGTGAATTGCTGAATGGTATACGAGCCAGCTTGCCTTGTAACCGGAGGCTTCTGGGTTCAAATTCATTGTGGTGGGTGTGTACTGCCAATGATTCCCAAACTAGTCTGATAAAACAGCTATCTGGCACTACTCCCTGTGGCTGGTTTTCCAATGCTTTTCTACCTGATATCAATCCGTGAGTGGTTAACTTTATAAAAAATTTCCCCGACCAGCCACCTACCCCGCCCCCCCGCCACAATCGATATCGAAGACGAAAACTATCAACTGAAACATGACTTACTAATGAGGCAAAAATGTCTTTTTGATGCAGATGGATAGTGATCAACGTTTCTAGTTTAGTACGTTCAACTGATGTCAAATTCTGTGTAGTCTGTTGAATCAGCATATTCAATAGACGACCAAATTCAAGATCAGTTTTTTGCATTATCTTTTTATTATATTTAGCCTCTCTTAGGGCATTCGTTGAGTCTCTTGTCCATATAAATTGTATGCCTAATAATCCAACCTGAAAGTAAAGCAGTAGATTAGTACGATGAAGAAATCAAAATGTTACAAATCGTTACGCTGCTAAAAAGTAGTTTTTAATAAAATACCTGCCATTTAAGAGTCCCCCAGTTCGTGGGTTTTTATATATGTGTAAAACTTGAGCACTGTGGTGGTGATAGTATGTAATTCCATATTAGTTTGTTTAATAGATGTATCACACAGAGTCAGTGAAATAGTATTATTTACTGGATGACGTTTCGAACAAAATTTGTTATTCTTCATAATCATTTCATCAATTATAATCACACGACTTCGAAACTTCAGTTTTATAGTCTTCTTTGTCCTCTCCTATTTGTCGTTGTTGGTGCAGTAGGATTTTCCAGATATCTGTGTGGACAGGTGTTGAATGATTCATGTTACACGTACTCCCCCGTTTCAGTTGATTCGATAAACAAAGCTTCTGTTGTTAACCATCTCTCCCTCCCTACACCCTGTTATATTGGATTTTGAAACTGTCATCCTATCCCATCCATCCTATTGTATGGTTGTGTATAATTGCATATAATGCTCGCGATAACTAAGACTTTCGGAGCAGAAAAACCTAGCAGCGAACCTAGCAGCAGACAAGTTCAGGTATACTAGTGACTACATGCAGTTTAAAATTAGATAATGAAGAAAAAGTGGTTAGTTTTGACATTGTCAGTTTATATACACGTATACCAATAAATATGGCTATAGAGGCAGTCAGAAACGAACTCATTTCTGACCAAGAACTCTAACTTAGGAAAGGTAAAAATAAAATAAATAATAATAGTGGTGATAGTGATAATAATAATAATAATAATAATGATCATAATAAACAATAATAAACAAAACAACACCAACAATAAAGAATCTAAATCATCAGTTGTAATTCCATACAAGGAAGGAACCTCGGAGACCACCTTACGCAGAATTCTTTACAAGGCGGGCAGGAATAAAAGTAACTGGCATTCAAACCGACCACAAACTCAATTAGAAACAAGCTTTGTCGGATACGGGATACCTCCAGTGAAGTCAATTAAACAAAACTATTTAGTTTATCTAATACCCTGCCTGTAGTGATTATCAGGTCAAATACATAGGTCAAACTAGTAGAACAGGGGCAGTGAGTCAGACTAGCTGAGCATAAAAACCTAGCAGCAAAGTCTAGATTGGTTGACCCAAATAAGACAAGAAATCTAGAGAACAGTTCAGCTATGACGCTCGCCACATGCAGTTACACACAACCACACAATAGGCTGAATGGGATAGGATGACAGTTTTAAAATCTAATGCAACTAACAGGGTGGAGGGATAGAGAGACTGATAACAACGGAAGCTTTGTTTATCGAATCAGCTGAAACCTTGTCATCCAGTAAATACTAATACTGTTTCACTGACTGTGTGTGATACATCAAATAAACAAACTAATATGGAATTACTTACTACCACCACAGTCCCCATGTTTTATACATATATTAATATGACTTATGGTCTTCCTGTACGAAGACTTATCAATAAACTCACTCGACTTTCACAAACTGTGAAGCAAGATATGAAAATCATCGTATTTTCAACATTCGAGGCTTAAAAAATGAAATCATTCCTAAGTATCTACGTCTAGGAGTTTCAGTTCCAATGGATAGAGTTAGAAGTAGAATAGAAAGCCTACATAAATTATGCCTGAATGAAGAGATCCACAGAATCGTTAAAAAGTTGCAGCACATATCAGATATGAAATTGAGCAATTAAAGCAAAGCACTAAAGGGAATAGTTACCAATGTAGATTATGATATTATAACACAGTCAGACTTCTAGCAGTGCAGAATCAGCAACTTTTAAAAAGTCAGAAAATAGTCAAATCAAAAAGTCCAACAAATTACTAGAGGAAAAATCTTCTTCATCTCAAAACGATGAAGTCAACAATTTAAAGTCCAACGGCGATCAATAAAACAAGGTGGGTGGTTATAGATCTCTAAACATATATATTAAGTCCTACAGAAATAAGTGTATTAGAAAAAGGGACCAAAATTTCAATGTATCAGTAGACAAGCTGAGACCTGAGGATATCATCCCTAAAATACAAATAGCACTTAGTGGCATGGACAAAACAACAGCTAACGTAGTACGTGCACAATGTGCACTTATATTAAAACGACAAAACCGTGGGTATTTAATCGCCTTTTTGGGGAAGATTACGTCATGAACAGACAGTAATCAGACAAACATAGAGAGCTTTCCCCGTCCCTCCCACTTATTTTAAAGACTCGCCAACAATGCCCACCTATTCATAGTTCCTCCAGGGATCGAACTCACAACCTTCCTCTTGTGTACCATGTGAAACCTTTTAATGTCAGTAAAAAGTTTGAGCATTGTGGAATAGATCAAATAAAGTATAATTATGTTTCTTCGTTGTTTCTTCATTAATATTATTATTCCCTTTAATTCCTAGAGGAACATAGGACTTCATCCGCACGTCTCCATTGCGTTCGCTTCTCTGCCAGTGTTTTTACCTGGTTCCACGCGTTTGACCACATACTTTCATCTCCTCTTCACGTGACCTCCTCCAAGTCACCCTCACACTGGCGACCATTTCTCCGATCCCTTTCGGGTTCCACTCGAGCAATGGCTTATCTAGTGATATCACTTGATGGCTTTGTTTTCTCAGAGTATGGCCAACCATTTCTTCCTGCTTATCTGTTGCGCAATCGGTTCCTGCTGGGTTGGTTCGCTCATTGACAGAGATCCCTGTTGCTGATCTTTTCTGGCCATATGATCTTAATTATTGAGCGAAGACAACTGTTGATGAAAGTCTGTAGTTTGTGTAAGGTGCTCTCGATGACGCGCTGGCCAAGTCTCTGATCCGTATAGTGAGTAGCACTGACTGACTTCACATTGGAGTCGATAATCCGGATCTTATTTCCATTTTCATGCTGAGTTCTGCTGATCTCCACACAGACTTGGCTTTCCTGATCCTTGCTTTGATATCCTCATCAGTCCCGTCGGCGTGTAGTTGAAACAATGCTTACCAGGTAGGTAGGTAGGTAGGTAGGTGAAGGAGGTTATTTCTTTCAGGTTCCTCCCATTTTTGCCGGCTGGTTGTTGTCTGTTGTTGTTGACCAGGAATCTTCATCACCTCTGTTTTCTCTATGTCCACCCGAAGTCCTGTCTCTGGATGCTTCTTCTGCCAACTTGTTGCTTTTCACTTGTATATCTTCGAGTGAGTGGGAAATCAGACATATATCATCATCGGTGAAGTCCAGATCATCCAAGTCTCTTTTTGTGTGAGTCCATTTTATGCCTGTTTCCTCGCTGCCCGTTAACTGTCTGTCGCATTATCCAATCTACTGCAATCAGGAAAATCATTCGAGGCGGTAGTAGGCAGGTAGCCAGCTTGCCTTATTCACATAGGTAGTTTCTTTTCGCTTCTTTTTTTTGTGCAAATTCTGGTATGCTTTCATACTTTTCCTTTTCAGATGCTCCTTTCAGTTTTTCTTTTGCTTCGATAACATTTTCCTTAAGCAAAAGAAAAATTGAAAGGAGCAATTGAAAAGGAAATGTATGAAAGCATACTAGAAGTTGCACAAAAAAAAAGAAACTAGCTATGAAGAAAGAAATAAAAAAATTTAATCAACTCATGCATGATAGCGAAAACTCCGCTGAATGACAGACAAGTAACTAAAGCCAATCGGATTGAAAGCATATCAAACAGGAAAGCTAACAGTAGCACCACACAGGAAAGCGTACTACTCATCTTCAAGAAAAGATTAAACCCTGAAGATATTATACCTGCAATTGAAACACCACACTATAGAAGGACATGACAAGCAAAACAAAAAGCACAATTGCTACGGCACAGGAACAATCTGCATTAACCATTAAAAAAAACCAAGCAAAAAGCAGAAAAACAAAATGTAACCAAGACGCACTCCAAGACATAAAAGCAGACATAAAATCCATCCGTTCATTGTCATTACCCAACCAGACAAAGCAAACACAACAGTACTACTGGTCAACAAAACAACCAACATATCATGAAAAGATGAATGAACATTTACAGTCTCCATCCTATACACCACCCCACCGTATCTACTACCCTTATGACGAAATCATCACAAACACAATCACAAACAAAACAATGAACGAAAAAGCAAAGCTACTAGTTAGACAGATAAAAGAAATTATTCCAAAATCATGCAATATATCTACGGTATATGGCAAGATAAAATTGCATAATAAACAAGGATATCCAATAAGACCGATTATAGACTTTAGAAACACACCAACGTATATTCTGGCAAGATTTCTCTCAACAATATTAAAACCAACAAGGGACAACTCAAAAGCTAGCTAGAATAGTAGATTCATTTGAATTAGTGAGATAGACGACTAAAAACCACTAAACTAGAGGAAGAGGAAGCAATACCAGTCAGCTTTGACGGCAACAGTCTGTCTCTACACTGAAACACCCATTCAAATGGGACTGATGAATCCACTGAAGACGAGGAGACTAAAACAAGATAATGAATGACCTAAAAAAGACAGAACACAGTTAGTTATCCGTAGAAGAGATTACAATAAAACAGGGTGGAATTCTGTCTGACAGACAACAACAACATATTTCACATTTGAATGAAGGAGTAGCTATGGGATCGTTCATCTCACCAATAATACCTGACAACATATTCATGGATTTTTCGGAAGAGAATGCACTTAAACTATTCAGGTCATCACTAAAATGTTGGTGGAGATATGTACACGACACACTAGTAATAGTGAAAAATAAAATGATATTGAGAAACTCTTCTCACACATAAACAGTCATGTCGACTCAATAAAATTGACTATAGAAATAGACAATGAAACTGGGCAACTGCAAAGTACAAAGAAGTAAGAGTTCGTGGGTTATTTAATTGCTTTTTTGGAAAGATTACGTCATGAACAGACAGTAACCGGACAATCATAGAGAGCTTTTTGCCCCTTATTTTTAAAACAAGCAATAAAGGTTAATAAAACAGGATGATTTAATGATGGTTTCATCAAATTTCGGTAGAACTCGTCAGCTGCTCAGTACTCTTCATACATGGATACATACATATATACTCTGAAATTACATTGGGAGATGTAAGACTTATAAGTAAACAAACTACATTGAATTAGTCATGCAGAAAGCCAGGGGAGAGAGAGAATGAGAGATCAAAATTATGATGAATTGCATTACGCTTCAATTACACATCACTTAGATAAACAATTAGTCATTAGAGAATATATCAAGAATTGCAAACACAGTAATATCAATAGTAATAATTATAATTAACAATAATAATAATAATAATACTATTGTTGAAGTGAGTTAAGATAATCCTACTGATAAAGGATAGTTTTAAATGAATCAAGAATAATAATGATAATAAGAGGTAGGATAATAAGTAAAACGTATTACCATGGTAGATTCAGACTGACGACCATTTCCTTTTGTACACAGTCAGTCAGTCTGTCAGTCAGACAGTCAAATCAGAGGAGGATAATAAATAATCTCAAATTGTATTCTATTTCAATTCAATTCACGTACATCATCACAACATTCTGACAAGTTACTCATTTATTTTGACTATAAAACAAAAACACTCGTCTTATTTCCCATCTGATTGTTGTAAATGATCACTCATAACACTCATATTATTATTATTATTTCTGAATGTACATTATCCCATATTACTGATTTGTATTCAAATGTCTAATCATGAATTCCACTCATGTGTATATAAATGAAGGAAACAAGAAAGTTGTGTGAGTGAGTGATTGAGTGACTTGATATGATTATGAGTGGGAATAATAATAAATTGTGCTCGAAGCGTGTGGTCGGATCAGTTAATATTACTGCATAACACTACACTGTGTGACAGTTTATCAAAATAAAATCTTATCCATTATGAAAATTATAATGACTGTCTAGACCTGAAAGTGAGAGAGGTCGAAATGAAACTCATTTGGACTATGAATATGCCGATTTCAGCTGTGTAAAGTACACTTCCACATACACACACACACTGATGTGATAAAAAAGGGAGAAGGCATTAAAAATATTTTTTTTAAAATTCAGTACGAACCTGAGCAGGGAATGTGGCTAGAAATTCTAAGATATTCACGCCTTCTTCCATCGCAGCTTGATAGCCTTCTCTGATGATCTGATGTAGAGAAAACTGGGCTTCTTTCAATAACTTGTTTAGCCAAATCTCTACGTGTCCTTCAGCTTTTACAGGATGCTCTAACTACAAAAGAAAGAAAAGAATAATTTATGGATTTTTCCACATCTCAAGCTAACAAACAAACAATATTCAATCACCATAACTTTTTTTCAGTCACATTTTGTCACAAGGTAACATCAGTTCAGAGAAAAAAAATGCTTGGAAATAACTTCGAGTATAGTCCGTAATTGGAACTGACAATCATGCAAGTGAACAAACCGTATGACATCAAGCTATGAATACTTAACTATTCAATATAGCGAAAATATTGATTCAGACATCGATAAAAAACACAAAATAATCGAGCCATCAAAGAATATCCTCCTCGATAAATTCCTCCTTCTCTTCTCGCTCTACAATTATATCTACATATGCATGTTTATGTACACAATATTCTAGATTAGTAGTTAATTACAGTTCACAAAAGATGCATAAACTATAATAATAATAATAATAATAATAATAATAATGATAAAGATATGGTAGCAAATAGAATATCAACTGAGATTAGGAAAATTTCACAGAAATTCAGGATCATTCAAACCTGGACGGATGGCCAAGCGAGTAAGGATAATGTCTCAACCAACCAACTTCTTTTGGATGCACAAATTAGGCTTGTTAATATGGATCCCAACGGCCAGCCAGACAGCCTCACCAATATTTAGTAGAGGAACAGGTGTGTTACGTACTCGTCGCCGAATTATTGCTATGTACTGGTCGAGAATTTAATAGTTCTGACGCAAGAAAGACGGAAATCAGAAGACCACTAGGTTTGCGATGATACTTCTATTTTCCAAAACACAAGGACAGCAATAGAAAGAGAGATCACCATACACACACATATGTATGTGGATACATATCACCTCATATCGTTGATACCATGTGTCAAAAGTGACATCTGAATTATAATTGAACTGTGAAATACTATTCACAATGCCGTCGACAGATGGTAACATGGTATGATTCAGATTGCTTGAAGGTGAAGTTGGACCAGTCTGTTTGTTAATGAACATTTCCATTAATTTCATTTGTTGTTCGAATAGTAATTCCAATTTAGAAGAGCCCATAGTTTTCCACGTCGACAAATTGTTATGTTGCTGCTGATGAGTGGTTAATAGTAGTTTCCCCCGTCGCCAAATTGTTATGTACTCGTCGCCAAATTATTGTTATGTACTGGTCGAGAATTTAATAGTCCTGACGCAAGAAGGTGGAAATCAGAAGACCACTAGGTTTGCGATGATACTTCTATTTTCCAAACACAAGGAGAAGCAATAAGTGGTATCACACCAAAGTGTCACACAAGATTGTGAGAGCGAAATATATATATGAATGTCCAGACAAGTGTGTGAACAAATCAATAGACAGTCTTAACATGAATGGTTAATTATAATGGAGTGTCGATCCATATATACATAGCAAAATATAGCAGACATGTCAACAACCACACATATAATACGGATATATGTCACCAAGCAACGGACTGTCAACAAACACTCATATTATATATAATATAGGGGGGATACACATTGTTAAAGGAGACAGGTTCATCAAAGTGAAATGGTCACAGACTAAGAGAGCAACAGAAAGAGGGATCACCATACACACACATATATATATGTGGATACATATCAAGGCGAATTTGAGATTCGTTGGTTGGTATTCGGTAAATGACTCTAAAAGCCACCTGGTTAACATGAATCAGTCTTGTATTCTGTATCCACAAGATGAGTGAAATAGAATAGCTCTGTGTGAATAGATTTTGTTTGTCCTTAACCAACTTAACCAACCACTGTGCAGGGTGATTTTGGGAAATTCGATGAGAAACACGCCTAATTGTACGGACTATGTAACTAATTGGCTCACTACACAGGAGCACTTCAATTGGTAGATACACACACATGGAAGAGGAGGTGAAATTAGGCAGTTTGTCATTTACTCCCGAACGAACTCAAAAGAGGAGTGGTTTCGAAGACACAGCGTAATTCGGAAGGAGCAATGAGTGCTCTTTTTATTACACCTCTAAGGCGCTGTTAGTAGTATCTCGCTGATGTTGTCCTTGAGGGCTTGAACTCATAACAATAAGGCCTTCGTTTTTCGGAACTGTTGGTACCTTAGGCGGCTTTGATTTTAGATTCATATTCTTATAAATAAACGTTTCTGGATAACCGTTTTCACACATCAACCGTTTAGTACTATTAAGTTCCTCATCAAGACATTCATCCGAGCGAATTGCTTTTGCTATGTGGTGGACCAAGCACTCTATCGGATTGCGTTTGTATTTCAAAGACACGAAGCTGAGAAAATGGGTATTCTGACAGTCAGTTGATGTAGGTTTTCTATATACATTTGTTCTTATTGTGCCATCCTCTTTTCTGGTCACAAGGACGTCTAGAAATGAAATACTAGAGTCGTTTTCTTTCTCAATAGTAAAATTTATTGCAGGATGAATCTCGTTAAATTTATCCAGGATGTTCTTTGCTTCCTCCCCCTTATTTTTCATCATCAAAAAAGTATCATCCATGTACCGACAATAGAATTCAAGTTCATTAATAACATCCTTCAAAGACCCATTATTTTCTAGTTTCTCAGAAAAAAATGTCGGCTAGAATGAGTCCTAGTGGTGACCCCATCGCCCAACCGTCGATTTGTCTGTATAGTTCCTTATTAAATGAAAAGTGGACATTCATTGTGCATTTCAAAAGAAGCTCTTTCAACAGAAAAGATATAGGAATGCCAATATCGATGTTTCGTCCTATGAGTTCTTCGCATACAAAGTCCACTGTTTTCCATAAGTGGTACACATTGGTGAATAAGGAAGATACGTCGACAAATGATATCATGAATTTATTGTCAACATTTAAATCTTTTATCCTTTCAACAAATCTAAAAGTATCCTTTACACTGTATTTCACCAACTCGAAGTGAAGAAGCTTAGTTATTCAACCACTTGATCGCGAACCAATGAGCCATATTTTTTTTAATTTGGTCAGCGCTTTCAACCAGTGTCTGTCGAGAGAATTTACCCTATCTCTTCCAATTCCGCCTTGAACATTCCGCCACGAACAATGGAGGAATCCGGTAGAGTATCTACAAAACAAGCATTCCCAAACAACTTTGTGGTGGACAGTAGTGCAAGTCACTATTATCATCATGAGAATAATAACACAGAAACCTTTGTCATAAGAATCTGAAGAACTCTGATAAGCCTATCAACTAATCTCCCTTATTAGAAGATCTACCCTTGAAAATGAGTTTTGTCTTTGAACCAAAAAGAACACAGCTTATCTCAAGTTCTAATGAGAATTTTATACAGTTGACAAAAAAAATTGAGTTGACAGGGAAGGAGAGTTACTGTAACCGAAAATAAAACTTTGCTTAAGCTGAACACTAAACAGCAGATGCTTAAGGTCACTAGGATCATAATTTCTCCTACTATTATTATTATCATTAATATCATTTTGTGATATCATTCATGTCTTTATTATCTATTTCACCACTCAGTTTATTTCATCAATCTTTATGATTTTATACTAAGCCTACCAATTCTGTAACATTTTATGCATATCCAAACCAAGTTCACTTTTAACAGTTTGAAAAAATTTGGCCATTGGGTGGTATATGATATTCATTATAATAAAGAGGGTTTTCTTGTATTTCTCAATGAATGAAAAAGCCAAAACGATATTATTGCTCTTACTGACGTTTCGCTATTTAATGCTGCTGCTAATAGCTTTATCAAAGCAGCGATATTAAACCAGAATTTGCAAAATCCACTCAGCTTATATATAACAAAGAGTTAAGAGGTGGGTGAGAAAATAGACTTGACTACTTAGGTCAAGTTAAAGGGAGGACGTATTGAAAGTCAAAATAACAATGAAGATGAATGACTTAACCAAATTACAAAGGTAAGGCCAGTTAGTTATGCGGCGGATACATTTATTTTTAACGTAGAATAACAGATTAGTTATGGAGTGTCAAAATAAATAAATAGTCGTATTTCAGTGTGACAAACATGCTCTGGGCTGAGATCGATTACCAAAATATTGTAAAACGGGAGACAATGGTGGTGATTAATCACAATAGATTTGTGGAGTGTGGCGTAGGAAAATTGACAAATCAGTTCAAGGTTATAAAAGGTGTCAGGTGAATGGCTAGTACAAGGTGGTCTGTATTAAACAGGAGATAGTAAGACTGGAATGAGAGGTGCATAGTGAGATAATGAATATGTTAAATGAAACAGGTGAGCAAAAAGAGATAATATCCGGACTTAATATTAGTACGTTTGTCACACTCAAATACGACTATGCATTTTGAAACCCCATAACTAATCTGTTATTCTACGTTAAAAATGTATCCGCCACACAACTAACTGGCCTTTATTGTAGCGACAACAAATATTCTATTTTATAACTGTAAGAACCTGAATAGGAGAAATTATTGAAAAGAATATTCTTCGTTCAGAGTGACTTTTAATTCCCGTAATATGGGAATATTTCACACTATCAAATCTTATAATATGGAATATATGAATTGTATCAGTTTGTGTCGATGATATATGGTTAACACTAATTTACACAGAGTATAAAAGTCAAAATCGAATTAGTATGCATCAAGATATTTAAGGATTGGTTCACTGCTTGTTCAGACGAACTTGTACAGATCGCTTACGTCTCCTTCACATAGCTGAAGCTGTTGCAATAAGATCGACTAAACCGGAACTTTGTATCCAAAAAGAACACATCCAGACGCTGTTCCTACCGTGCCCAACCTTGGATTGAAGATTTTTCTTCTCACCAAGAGTGCTCCTTCCCCTTAACCCTCTTGGTGTTTTTTCTTTCTTTTTTTACTTTACTCATTATTATAAATATTATTATTACAGTTATTATTATTATTCGTCATAATTTATGCCCTTTATGCAAACATTCCCTCAATACTATCGAATTTTCATTTATACGGACTTATTATTAGTGGTATTATCTGTTTTCTCAATATATGCCTCGACCTGTTTCATTTAACATATTCATTATCTCAATATGCACCTCTCATTCCAGTCTTACTATCTCCTGTTTAATACAGACCACCTTGTACTAGCCATTCACCTGACACCTTTTATAACCTTGAACTGATTTGTCAATTTTCCTACGCCACACTCCACAAATCTATTGTGATTAATCACCACCATTGTCTCCCGTTTTACAATATTTTGGTAATCGATCTCAGCCCAGAGCATGTTTGTCACACTGAAATACGACTATTTATTTATTTTGAAACCCCACAACTGCTGTTCTGTTATTCTACGTTAAAAATATTCCATATTAGTTTGTTTATTAGATGTATCACACACAATCAGTGAAAGAGTATTAGTATTAACTGGATGACACATTTTCGAACACAATTCATTATTGCTGTTCATAATCATTTCACCATCAATTATAATCACACGACTTCGAAACTTGAGGTTTGTAGTTTTCTTTGTTTTCTCCTATTTGTCGTCGTCATTGGGGTAGTAGAATTTTCCAGATATCTGGCTGAACAGGTGTTGAATCATTCTTACTACACGTGTTGTTTTGCAGTTGATTCGATAAACAAAGCTTCCGTTGTTATCAATCTCTCACTCCCTACACCCAGTTGTGACATTAAATTTTAAAACTGTCATCTTATCCCATCATCCATCCTATTGTATGGTTGTGTGTAACTGCATGTAGTGAGTGGTTTAGCTCAACTTTTCTCTAGATTTCTTATCTTATTCAGGTCAACCAATCTAGATTTTGTTAGGTTTTTATGTTTGGCTAGTTTGACTGACTGATTAAATAAACTAAATTATTTTGTTTTAAAGGCTCCACTGGCAGGATTGATCCTTTAACCGACAAAGCTTGTTTCTAATTGTGTTTGTGGTTGGTTTGAATGCCAGTTAATTTTATTCCTGCCTGCCTTGTTAAGAATTCTGCGTAAGGTGCTATCCGAGGTTCCTCCTTCCTTGTATGGAATTATGTTATAGAATCTAAATCAACAGTATTAATTCCATACAAAGGAGGAACCTCGGAAACCCTACGCCGCAATTTTAACAATGAAGGAATAAAAATGGCTGACGTTGAGACCCACATACTCAGTTAGAAACACGCTTTGTCGGTTAAAGTATCCCACCCGCCTATGAAGCCAACTAAACAAAACAATTTAATTTATCTAATGCCCTGCTGGAATGGTTGTCAGATCAGATATACAGGTGAGAGTAGTAGAACTGGGCCAGTCAGAGAGACTATCAGAGCACAAAAGCCTAGCGAAACTTAGAATCGCTAACCCGAATAAGACAAGGAATTTGGAGAATAGTTCAGCTGTAGCACTCACCACATGACAAGCAATTACACACAACCATACAATAAGCTGGATAGGATGACAGTTTTGAAATCTAATGTCACAACTGGGTGTAGGGAGGGAGAGATTGATAACATAAGCTTTATTTGTTGAACGATTCAACACCTGTCCACCCAGATATCTGGAAAATTCTACTACCCCAATGACGACGACAAATAGGAGAAAACAAAGAAAACTACAAACCTCAAGTTTCGAAGTCGTGTGATTATAATTGATGGTGAAATGATTATGAACAGCAATAATGAATTGTGTTCGAAAATGTGTCATCCAGTTAATACTAATACTCTTTCACTGATTGTGTGTGATACATCTAATAAACAAACTAATATGGAATTACTTACTACCAGCGTAGGGCTCAAGTTTTACACATATATTAACCATCCATATATCTTCTGAAAAAGGCACCGAAATTAGTTATACTGAAATGAAATCTAGTCTTACCTCCAACACTTCACCCTCTTGTGAATAACACGTTAATATTGTCTCATATTGTTTTTCATGAAATTTCACTGTCTTAATATTATCGAATACCGACAGCAAATGTGCCTGTATGGTGTGAGGATCTGATGCTTGACCGAGAATCTCCAGTAGGGTTGGATCGGATACAAAAAAGAAACGTGGGAATAGAAGACGCTTTTTCTCCAAGTACCTAAAAGAAAAAAGAATCATTCGGAAAACAAACAAAAAAGAAAATTGCACGGAGTAAGGAAGTAAACGCATACAATTGTGTTGAGAGCTGGCTGATAGCCAAATTGGTAGATAGGAATTTATGTCAATTTTTACGTCCCCATTATTGGTCATGAGAAAACAAGAATAAGAACAAAGACTGATTGATTGACTGACTAACTGACTCAACAACCAATCACAGAACACTTTGTTTGCGTGCGTGGATACAATCAGCTGGCAGCAGATGATCTGACCTTCAAGAAACAGCCACAAACAGATGAAAGATTAACTTTCAGTGAGAATGAATCACCAATCAGAAGACTGTGGTGTTTGTCTGCTAACAATAATCTATGATAATGTACATGAAAATATGTAAATATCTGTTGATTTCTTATATAAACGATCTGTTTGGCTGGCCCTTGTCTTCTGTTGTTACACTATTACATGTCAAGTGACAGTTATATACGGAAACCAAAATAGAACAAAGGAAAAAGGGATTCAAATGCACCAGTTAAGCAAATAATGCTAGCAGGAGTGTGATTTCAAATTAAACAGAAAAAGAGATATAGGTAAGCTGACATAGCGATATTTAGTTGCAAAATAATGTGTGCTGTACACTTCTGTCATTTTATCCGAGAAAGAAATTGACCATATTATCGTTCAGATGACAGTCTACGCCAATTTAAGTCAGTATTACATCAGGAATCTAGTAGAAAGATATCAAAGCAAGTGAAGATGAGTTAAATCTTTTAAGGAGAATCTAATGGAAAATGGATTTCCACCACGTTTAGAGACGAGAATATATATTCAAATCCTACAGAAACATGACGTATCATCCGCACCCAAGAAAATATTTTACATGAGCTTGGAATTCAAAGCTGACTTAGCTACCGATATCATGAAAAGAAGGATATCACAGTCCCTGAGAATGGCCTTTACTAGTCGACACCCATGGGATCCCCAATATCAGGTTTGATTGCAGAAATAGTGATGCAAAGGCTCGAAAACATAATTCTACCAAAGATCAAACCCAAGGTTTGGATACGGTACGCAGACAAGACATTTGTAATAATCAAAACAAACGAATTGGATAAAAATCACAACTTAATAAACAACGTCTTCAACGACATCAAATTCACAAGAGAAGAGGAATCCGAGAAACAAATCCCATTTTGGGACGTCTTAGTCAAGCGAACAACCACAGAGGAATTAGAAACTCAAGTTTTTAGAAAATCAACTCACACAGACCAAATAATGAATTATACAACAGCAACAATCCAATAACACACAAAAGGAATTGCATACAAACATTATTCAAGAGGGCCAACCAGCCACGACTCACTGCAGCACTCTCACCTAAAGGAAGATTGAAGAAAGATATCTCATGGACATCTTCCAGAAGAATGGATATCTACGGAACTTCATCAAAAGACACATACCCTTAAGCTAACCTACCAAATCAAAGGCCCCCAAGGAAAGCACAAAGGAAATTTCCCTATCATACATAAAGGACATCTCAGAAATTGCTGCAAGAATCTTTAAACCTTTAGGAATTGACGTAGCACAAAAATCAGCAAAATTACTTCACTCAGTTCTATTTCAACCAAAAGACTCAACAACGAAAGAAGATAAAACCAACACCATCTGCAAGATAACTTGCAATGACTGCGAAAAACACTACATTGGTCAAAGTGGACGTCTCCTTCGTCTTCGTATGCATGAATATAAATTAGGCGTCAAAAGACACGACATCCACTCCTCACTCATATCGCCTCACTGCATACAGATAACCACGGACATCAATTCGGCTGGGACAACCAACGTTCAAATATTAGACAGAGGAAATACCAATAATGCTAGAAAACTTCTAGAAGTCTGGTATTCCAGTGAATCATCAATCAATAGACATATCACCATAGACAAAATTTATCAACCCATAAGAAGGAAATCTCACACACAAAAATAGATCAAAGTTCAAGTCAAAGAAACAATCAGTTCCAAAACAAGTAGCCTAGAAAGAATGAAAACACACAAAAACAACCAACCACGTCCAAGGTCACCAGAAGAGATGATTAATAGACTTGTGGAGAAATCTAAAAGCTCACTTCAATTCAAATTGAAGTGTGCACTGAAGGAAGATATCGCCTAGTGGGGCGATGAGAGCTCCGCAAATTAAATTTCCAGCTCACAGAACACAACCACATACATACATATATATATATATATATATATATATATATGTACACCTTATCTTCAACGCACCATTTACCCAGTTCTTCCGTGTTTCTTTGTGTTTCGTTCACGTCATCCATGTTTCTTCGCACCGCTGAATCATTTGATTTCTCTCTGGAGTCAAATCTGTCTCCCCACTATTTGATGATTTTACTTTATCTCTTTATATACTATTGATAAATCGTATCAGTAGCACAAGCCACATTATCATACAAATCACAAGATACCACTTTCAAGTATTCTTATTGTAATAATAATTTAATAAAGTATACATATTTTCTCGTAATTTCTCAGCAGACCTTACATATGCATAAGCTTCATGAGGGTCTATCTAGCAAACATTGAGCACCAAATCGATGAAATTTTATCTTCTACAATACATATTCAAGGTACCACTTCAAATCCTTCTTCTTCCCCTGACAGTATTCAGTTGATCGTGACTACCAGTAGAATTCAAGACGTGTATTTCATCCTCTTAGGAACTTATCTGCTAGACTTACCACAGTATCCTAGTGAGTAATTGTTTCTCAACTGGGATTCGAGGCCGAAAGGCATTGTTTTAAACCCCAATGCAATGTCCACTGACCTAATAAGCTAAGAGAGAGTGACCCACATTGTACAACGGACAGTAGTTATTATTGATTTAAATTTTTGGAATTTCGACGGTATAATATTCCACCAAAAATTGTTATGATTATTATTCCCTTGGATTCCCAGTACTAACCGGCCCCAACGTTGCTTGACTTCGGTGATCGGACAAGAACCGCTGCTTTCACCGTGGTATGGTCGCCGACAGTGGAACATAGGGCTTCAACTGCACGTCTCCACTTGATTCTGTCTTCTGCTCTACTTTTCACCTGCATCCATGTTACTCCGTACTGTTTCAACTCCTCCAACTAACACGATCTCCTCCATGTCACCCTTGCACTGACGACCAACTCGCCGCGTGCCTCCCTTTCGGCCTGGTTCCACTCGAGCAGTGGCCTAACGCGCACGCTATGTCACCCAGCGGCGGCCATTTCACCGGGCATGCGTCCAATCCATCCATCTCCACTTTCTCCTGCGTATTTGCTGCTGTTGGACGATTGGTTCTTGTATTTTGTCTGTTCCCATAGCTTCTTGTTGTTGGTGATTCTTTCCGGCTCAGCCCAGCCATCTGATCTTCAGGATAGATCCAGCGAAGACAGTTAGTTGTTGATAAAGGTGACGTCTGCAACAGGCCGTTGGTGGAAATATTCGTTGTGACTCACCCGCCAAGTTTCTCATCCGTTATATACAGGAGAACTGACTGACTTGACGTGTTTGTATTGAAAATCCGACGGAATTTCGTTGTTGATGCTGTCTGAGTGACGAAGATTGGTTTCCACATTGGTTTCAAGTTGATGTGAGTGAATGTGCTTCTCGCCTTCCCGATTCTCGCTCGATTTGACATCGTCGTCCGTTCTGACTTCCTGTAGTTGAGACAATGCTCCCTAGATAAGTAAGTGAATGAAGTAGTCTCTTTCAAATCCCTCCCGTTGATGTTGATTAGCTGCTGGCTGGATGTTTCTGCTGTTGTTGTTGGTTGTTTGGTTGGCTATTTTCATCACATCCGTCTTGTCTATGTTCAAACAAACTGAACTGAATTCCAAAAGCCTTTCGAAGGTAAAAAGTGTCAACCGCATATCAGATTTATTGCATGGCATGTTTTGCTACAAAACACCTTCTCTAATAAGGATATAAAACTGTATAGTTTGGAGGCGAAATTACTGTGAAGAATATTCCTTATTCTGGGTAATTGTGAACAAATAAAATAAAACTGTTGCAGGATTTCATCATGAGCTGACATTTGTTAGAGAACCATTAGAAAACCTGAGAGTACTGGACAACCGTTTCGTCCTAGTTTGGGACTCTTCATCAGTACGCACCCACCACCTGGGATTCGAACCCAAGACCTTTTGTCCAATGGTTCTCTAACCAATGTCAGCTCATGATGAAATCCTGTAACCAATCAATCAACCAAATCTTTACAAACCGATACTTGAAAATAAAACTGTACTTCTTACAGTGTACACACATGTGAAGAAACACAATCCACTTACCCAGTTAAACTTTTTTGACACAATTCTAACTGTTCCATTAAATGTGGTAATAAATGACTCAGCATTTCATCCCCAACACAACAAGTTAACACGTGTGTTGTCTCATGTGCACGTTGCATAATCCGACACCAAGATCTATCCACATTGGTGAAACGTTTCGCTTCTTGAGGCAGCTGGCGAGCAATATCCCCACCGATAAACACAGCTTCAAGATATATCCATAAATTTTGAACAGCAAGCCATTGTTCAATAATTTCATTTGAATTTGATAACCTTGAAATAAAGTTTTGAATTTCTTTACGAAAGGGTGTATTATATCGATTACTTAACAGGGAACTGAGCGCCATTAATGAATCTTCCATTAGACTGATCAATTCTAGCGTATGATCACCACGTAGTAATAATTCACCACGATTTTTGAATTGTACAAACTCGAACTGTTGTGCACTCCATTCAGCTTTTATGCTAATGAGTTTGTTTTCAATATCACGTTCTTTAATCGCTGATATGCAAATATCTTCTACATCGTCATAATGTTTAAGTAATGGTGCTTCAAGAATGCTGCGTAGAGTAAATCCACTCTCGTCAACATTAAATGTATGCCCTGTAAGCGTGGTCAGACGTTTCCAGTGTCGTTCACGCATCGACGGATTAGACATCAACTCTAGTAGTGGAATTATTTGATCAAAATTAGACAAAGTTTGTCTTAAATCATCGTAGGCTGGATATTCTCTTAAAGCTTTCGGTAATTTAAGGCAACGATTTTGAAAATCCTGAAGTTCTTGTGAAATTAAATCAATTCGCACATCAGACCATGGTATATCATAATAACCGGCTGTTTTGTTTAGAACACTGTTGTACAACAGATAGAGCTTTTGTAACAGGTTCAATTGTTTTCTAATTTCATCTAATCGATTGTATTCTGTGATTGGTAGGCCGAATAACTGTTCACCTGCACTGTAGGTTATGTAATTCCGATAGAGATTGTCGAAGCGATTTTGAAATATAATAAGTCGGTCTGATGCTTCTCTGGGCGGGATACCTCGAACCATTGGTCCAACCTGAATTTTTAAAGCAGAACATGAAGAGTGGAAATTAATTTAAAAAAGATTTTTTTATTTGCATAAGATATGACTGAATAATTTCCTCCTGCTTTTATCACTTTCCATCGCCTTTTCACTAGTCGCTAGTTTACCGGTTACAGTGAGTGAAGTACACAGTATGCAGAACTGTAATATTGTGGTCAGAGGACTGTCTACTAGCCTTAATTGGTAGACACCAATTTACGTCAATATTTACTTCCTGAATTGGGGATCACGAGATAAAATAATAAAAAAGCTAAACCTTGAGGAAGTCAACGACCAGTCAGAGCAGACTTAGCGTGGGCGGATACGATTCGCAGATATACAGTCTGACCATCAAAGAAACAGCCACAAGGGGATGACAGAATAACCATTAATTTCTGATGCCCGTTTAGTCGTAAACATAAACATGCGCGAACGAGAGCGTGATCAGAGTCTACGCACGTGTTTCAGAAGGAGCGACAGTCTTCTACTGTCTACCCTCGCCAACGATACCCTATGGCTATGTGGTCTATCTGAGTCCAGCGTTGATTTGGTGATGGAGGTCTCCAGGTTACACAGGGTCTCTCTTTATGCTTAATGTTAGTGCTGACTACGAACAGATGATTATCTGAGCAAAACTGTAGAAGACGATCACCGTTGTCGATTCGTCGACAGGGGACTCCATACGTACCACCTACATACTTCTCAGTCTGGCACAACTTCCCTACTTGGGCATTGAAGTCACCTGCTAAAACAACTATATCTGAACGTTTTGTGAATTAGACAGTTCCAAGTAGAAATCATCTTTTAGTTCATCTGAACTGCAGTCTGTTGGGGCGTTAGCGGAGACTGCGAAAAGTCAACGACGGGTAGCGCCATCTTTCCTTCTTTTAATAGACCTGTTCAGACGAACCGCACATTTACGACTACCTACTGGGATCCAGTCAAGAAGTGATTTTTCCACCCTAACACTGAGTGCTACCCTACACCTGAGAGTCATCGCGAGCTAGCTGAGGGGTCTCCTGACACCCTTAAAGTGAATCTTGCAGATTCACCTTGTTGACTGGTTGAGGTCAAGTGAATGACCACACTCGGGTCTTGTATGCGTGTCTCCGAAACACAACATACATCCATGGCTCGAGTTGCCAGAGTTCTTGCTAGTGATGCTTGTTGTCCGATTTGGAAGAGGGTCCTGACGTTAAATGCTCCTATATGAAGTTGGCGACGTGGCTTTAAAAGGCTATCTGGGGTGTTTCTATGGCTCTCACAGTTGTTTGTGGTCAAAGAGTGAAGTAAAGATGACTCACTAGCCTGCGGAATAGGACTAACTGTAGTAGAGAAGCAAGATGAGGAAGGTGATGTGAGTAAAGGAGAATACTGCTCAGGAAGGTTTCGTGTGCTTTTGGAAGTGTGTGGGCGATTGTTACTTCCCGGCTGCCCACACCACTGTGGAAGTTGATTGTTTCTTCGGGTACCTGAAACAAAAAGAGTGTTGCATGAGCGCTTAGCCCAGGGGACAACTGCTTGAGCCAGGTCGGTCAAACACGGCCTGTATGAACTGGTTTCTTGGTTTGGTTCCATATCAGTAAACTTACCGCGAGCTACAGGATCGCCGTAGGGCAAGTCGGAATGTACTATTTTTGGCGTCTACCTTTTCTAACTCCCTCTCTCCAGAGTGGAAAGACAGCATAGCTGGCTGGCATGCTGGTCATCTGAGGGAAACACCTCACTGCTATTACATCCCTGTTCCCCAGCAGTATACGACTTCGCCCTCAGACCCCCAGGATAGTGTAAGAAAGATTCTTACACAATTCCGTTAAACGGTTTTAGTTTAATCGCTATCCTTACAACCTTCCTGGGATGGTAGGACCTGCAGGAACACTGGTACCAGCCAGTGCAGCTTGTTGGGTCATCGCGATGTGTAAACCTGACCACCACGTCTAGGTAGCAGCTATCAGTTGGGTCAGGAAGACTTTGCTCTTTCAAGAATCTTAAGGCCGCAAAATAGATTTTTGAGAGAAAATCTACAGTAAATGGCTTATACTCAGATGAGCACAGGGAACTGTAGTAGATATTGAGAATCACTCAGCAGAGAAATCTTGAATAGGATTCCATCCTTGAGGGTACCCATCGGCAAACTGCCTTTTTTCATTCCTTCGCATTCTGAGTGAGCTTTTTACGTTTCAGTAGAGTAAGTGCTGTTTTTACAAAGTGAGGTTGCTGGCCTCAAGCCCAACTTTCCTTGTTTTTCGAACTCACTACCAACTAAGTAAAAGGCCCGAGTTTTCAGAGTGTATCAGCCAAGAATAGAAGGGCCGAATCTCCTGTGTGCTTGATGTTCACCACTCTACCAATGAAACATTAACACATCAGAATATGTCTAGAAAACTTGAAAACCTTAATTCCCCCCCCCCACCTCAGATTTGAATCTATATTAATCACAAAAATAAGGACTGAATTCTCTATTCAACCGATAAGGTATTTTATTCAGAAAATTTGAATGAAGTAAGCCCACACGCAATGACGCTAAAACTGTGGTGAGAGCTGGCCGTTAACCGAAATTGGTGTGCAGTAATTTACGTCAATGTTTATGTCCCCAATATTGGTCGTGAGCAAAATGAGAAGAAAGGCTTTGCGTAGGCGGATACAGTTAGCATATACATGATCTGACATTCAAGAAACAGTCAGTCACAAAGAGATGCAAGGTTAACTTTCAGTGAGAAACCACGAATCAGAAGACTGGTGTTTTTCTGCTAACAACAATCTATAATATGTAAATGAAAATCTATAAATATGTATTGATTTCCTTAATAAACGGCCTGTTTGGCTGGCCCTTGTCTTCTGTTGTTACAAAACTAAACCACCAGTCGGCATTCAATCACGACCTCTTGGAAAGAAAACATCACATTAGACATGAGAAATCGGGCATTCGGTATAGTAAAGCAGACGCTATAGATCTCAGAGTCACCAAAAACATTTTGTTGGTGACATACATGTAAAAAATTTGCTTCAGAATATTATTCACAACATCCAGAGGTTGTATCTCTCAGTTATTCCTTTGCGTTCCCAGCGGAACCATTAGGGCTTCAAGCCTGAGCGTGAAAGTTTCGGTAGCAGTGGTGTACTCCTTTACGGAGTAAGGCTGCTAGCTTGACGCCCCACCTTTCTTCTTTGTCGGGCTTACAGCTGGCTAAAGGAGGTGAAGGTGTACGCTGACTGGGAGTCGAACCAAAGATCTCGTGCATGGTTGACCGGCATTCTATTACTGAAACATCGACGCTATCCCATCTACTCTTGACGACTATAATTTAAAACTTTTCCTTAAAATATATATTGACATGGCAGTTACATAGAACACGTTTGTCGAAAATTTATATAATTTCACGTGCGTCGGTGGCACAGTGGTTAGGACTCTCGCCGACCATGCACATGGTCCGGAGTTCGAGTCCACGCCGACGCACACCTGATATCTATGGTCGGCCTGCGAAATTTGGGCTACCGATATCCATGCTGAAAATTCCATACTAGTACCAAAAATACAGTGTGAAATCAAGCTGTAATCAAAAATAAAATAAAAATAAAATATTATTTCAGTGTAGGATACATTTAGGGGAATTTCCGAATTGCTATTTACGCATTTAGAAAAAACAAAACAGACTGGGTGAAGAAATATGCATTCCCTTACTTCAATTAGTTCCTCATCGTCGACTGACTGGCTGGCTCTAAATTAATATATATAGTTTCTTACATCAACAATTTTTACCAATCAAGTGGTTATTTTAATTAATCAGTTTAGGTATAGGAGGCAAGGGCGTGAAATTAAGAAGTTGAAAGTCATCAAAAAAATTAACTAACAGATGTTAGTGACAAGATATCTAAGCTTCGATGCGGATTTCATCCCATTTGGGATTGGCTCGTCGTCAGCTAATGGATGAACCTGCATTCCACAGTGAGTCAGTGATGATGTTCCCACAGAGACTCGAAACCAGTGCCCGTAGTTTCAAACGCCAGCCAAAGCGTTATCCACTAGACAACTTGGGCCATGAGAGCCACCTATTAAATTCTAATTAAATGCTCAGACATCGTCGAAGCATCTGCACAAGAAGCCAACAGACATGTCAACCTGAGAGCAAACTCTTCGGTCCAATCAATCGACGTGAAAACCTAAAATTGAATTAAATAATTAATATGACCGGTTGCACAAGAGGTGGCTCTCGTGATGCAAGTGGTCTAGTGGATAACGCTTTGGCTGGCGTTTGAAAGTATGGCCACTGGGTTCGAGTCTCGGTGGGAACATCATCGCTCACTGTGGAATGTACGTACATCCGGCTGGAGGACGAGTCCTGAATAGGACGAAATACACTTTATCCTGGTCCTAGATTCCACTGCTAGTCACCATCCACCAATTAGATTCTAGAATTTAGTTTCATTGAAAATTATAAGTCACAAGGATTGGATGCATCTGCACCAGCCATCCCTTGAGAACGATTTTCAGCCAGCTACATCACCGATCGCCTCCAGCCTTCATTGATGTTGACCGTCCCGAGGACCCCAACCAGTGAGGAAGTCTAAACCTTCCTACGTGGCTGGCTGGTTGGCTTCAACTAACTGTTGTGGATTTCATTAACTGGTGAAGCCATGTTTTGGTTTGACCACCACCACCACTGGCCAAATCTTTTCCAACCCGATCCTGTGTCAGTCAGCTAACATCGGTCAGCTACTCATCGGTCTAGGAAGGCGATGATTAAGCATACGTTATACATGTCCTAACCATCTCTAGTCTATGTAACTGCTTTACAGCCTCGTCGATTGATTTCCTCTCCTCCTCCTTACCTACCCGTCGACCGATGTCTAACCTCAATATTTCTCACCCTATTATACCACCAACTAACACGGGAGATAACACTCAGGCATCTATGATCCAAGACAGCTAGTCAGGAAGGCTTTTCATGTCTTCCACTCTCAGTGGCTAGGTCTCACAAGCAGGGAGGAGGACAGAGCAAACTTCTGTGCAGTACATACGCCCCTTGATCGACAGCCGGCCAGCTAGCCAGCCAAATATCACGTCTACGCCAGAGATGGTGTAAAATGAAATATTCGAAACTAGCTTGGTGTATTCGTGCTGAGATTTCATCAGTGATCAACCTATAAACATTGGCTCGTCGATTGATTTCCTCTCCTACTTACCAAGCACTCGACCGATGTCTAACCTCAACACACTGACAGAATGCAGGTACTGGAGAGTGTAATTAAAACAATTACCACATCAAAAAGATAAAGATGTACGTCGGTGGCACAGTGGTTAGGACTCTCGCCAACCATGCACATGGCCCGAGGTTCGATCCCCTGCCAACGCACAGTTTATATCTATGGTCGGCCTGCAAAATTTGGGCTACCGATATCACATGCTGAAAATTCCATACATGTACTAAAAAATACGGTATGGAATCAAGGTGTAATAAAAAAAACCTACAATATGAATTATAATCCACTTACTGTATCATAATCGTTGTAGAATGTTAAACAATTTTCATGAAATTCACCAATATTCTCTAATAAATTCCTACGAAATTGTGGTTGGACTTCAATTAATTCATTTTGTACCAGTAACATTTGTTTGCATAGCTTCTCCCATTCATAGCGTAGTGTGTCAGCCTTTTCAGTCTCTTCCTTATCCACTGGAATTGAATATTTTGACAGTAAAGCATAGGATTCTTCAATCGGTCCAAGTTGTAAGTCTACATTGACTTCTATTTCACGTAAATCCTGATGATAATGAAGTATAAAAAGAGTGTGTACATTAAAATATAAAAACTGTCGACAATTACCGAAAGGATTTAAAAACTGGTGCGGAATTATACTCTTGTCCATCCCAAGAAAAATATTAAGCCCCTTGATCATCCTGGAGAGAATCAAACACACCAACCTGGATGAAAAACTTCGACTGGAACAGGTTGGATTCAGGAGAAACAAGTCGTGTATTGACCAAATCGCTATACTACGGATCATCATTGAACAAAGCTTGGAATGGCAGTCACCTCTCTATCTCACTCAACTTCATCGATTTTGAAAAGGCCTTCGATAGCGAAGCGTCAATCGAGAGGTGATTTGTCAACTATTTCGCTACTACGGGGTGCTACCGACAATTATACATCTCATCCAACAGTTAGTTGTACAACAATGCTGCATGACAAGTAATCACCCACAACTGGAAACTTACGGAATCCTTCAAAGTGAGGACTGGAGTGAAGCAAGGCTGTCTACTTTCGCCAATGATCTTCCTGATTGCAGTAGATTGGATAATGCGACAGACAGTTAACAGGCAGCGAAGAAACAGGCAAAAAATGGACTCACACAAAAAGAGACTTGAAGGATCTGGACCTAGTCGATAATATATGTCTGATTTCCCACAAACTGGAAGATATACAAGTGAAAAGCAACAAGTTGGCAAAAGAACCATCCTAAGAAGATAGGACTTCAGGTGAACATAGATAAAACAGAGGTAGGTGATGAAGATTCCTGGCCACCACCAACACCAACAGCAACAACAACAACAACTACGGACAACAATCAGCCAGCATAAATAGGAGGAACCTGAAAGAAACAACCTCCTTCACCTACCTGGGAAGCATCGTTTCAACTACAGGCGGACGGAACTGACGAAGATATCAAAGCAAGGATCGGGAAAGCAAGACAAGCCTTCATTACTCTCAAGTCTGTGTGGAGGAGATGAACAGGACTCAGCATGAAAATGAAAATAAGAACCGGATTGTTGACTTCAATGTGAAGTCAGTCAGTGCTACTCACTATACGGATCAGAGACTTGGCCAGCGTGTCATAAAGAGCACCTCAAACAAACTACAGACCTTCATCAACAACTAGTTGTCTTTGCTCAACACTGAAGATCAGATGGCCAGAAAAGATCACTAACAGAGATCTCTGTCAATGAGCGAACCAACCCAGCAGGAACCGATTGTGGAACAAATAAGCAGGAAGAAATGGGGATGGATTGGCCATACCCTGAGAAAACAAACCATCAATCGACATCACTAGACAAGCCCCCGAGTGGAACCCAGCCGAAAGGGAAGCAGCTAGTTGGTCCTAAGTGCAAGGAGGACTTGGAGGAGCTAATGTGAAGAGGAGATGAAAGCATGTGGTCAGACTTGGAGCGGAGTGAAAAAGTTGGAAGAAAACAGAAAACAGGCAATGGAGATGCGCAGCTGAAGCCCTATGTTTCTCCAGGAATTAAAGGAAATAATAATAGTAATTCAATAAGAAATTGATGTTAATCTTCCTTTATTTATTGTTGTTGAAACTGAATAAATTACCACTGGAAGTTTGGTGATATTATTTTAGGCGAAAATATTCCATCCTTTCAAATAAAAAAAGATAATATAGAGATATACAGGGTGTTTTCTATAGTTTGGTTAGTATGGGCTAGCTTTGTTTTGACGAGTTTAACCATGCACGGATTGATATCAGTTAGAAAATCATTGAAAATCAACAGAGTTTGGGAATCATCGGAAGTACACACCCACCACAACTGGTTCGAAACCTACCCCTCGTCATTACAATGCAAGCTGACGCGTATACCATTCAGTCACTTACTGAGACCCACCCGATCCAATGGCCAGCCAGCCAACCCATGAATTCTAACTTCTACCAATTTGTGATGCATTCATCGCGACTGGCACCAACCAATCAGTAGTCATCGTTGGGGCATCCATCCTCACACTTGACTACTGGTTGGACCTCACAATGGTCACAACTTCTCACTAGAACTAACTCCAGGAAACTCCATCCTGTAGCAAGTCACAAGCGCGCATCAGATTAGTTTTCTATAGTTCGGTTTGTAATGGTTAGTTTTACTTCTGCGAGTTTGACCACGCACGGATCAATATCACTTAGAGAACCATTGAAAACCAGGTCCTGGGTTCGAACCCAAGTGGGTGCGTCGATAATGCCTTGTTTCATGTTAAATGAAGATTTCATCTACCCACTGTGTGCTGAAATAACGCTGGTGATGCTTAAAAAGGGAGCTGGGTGCTTAATTAATGCGACATAAAACTTTCAAATAAGATTAGCATCTGAAATAATGCCTTTAGTGGTGAAAATAAGCACTGCATGTTTGCCTAACTGCTGTGGTTAGTACTGAAAAATAGCACTCTATCGGGACAGAGGAAGCAATTAAGTGATTGGATTATTGATTATTATTGTTGTTTGATAAAGCTATTGGCAGCATTAAATAGCGAAACGCCAATAAAAAAAACAATGTCCTTTTGTTTTTCATTCATTGGGAAATACAAAAGCCTTTAGTATAATGGATTGGATTGAGTGTTAGTATGTTGACACCCACCAATCAGCGGACAAGTAAGTTTCATACTGAATATGCAGTGTGACGGATACAGACTTGTCTGGGAATTAGACATGATATGATTGGTCTATTTGATCAGAGGTGTGATAGTAGATAAGAATACTATGAGAACATGAGTCAACAAGGGGGTAGGGAGAGATGAAACGGAACACGACACGTAAGCGAACAATTAGATCCCCTTCTTCATGCTTTACTCTAATTTACATAGACTTATATATAAAACAAAGTCTAACCAATGACCGTGATTTTGTGGATCAAATAATAGTAATAATAATAATGGGGTAAATGTTTTGAACGAAATTAATAACGATGATTATAATGATGACAAAATACTGATAATAAGGTTTATACAGGTGGCGATAAGAATAACAAAGGTAGTATATGTATGTGTGTGTGTATACGTAGACAATTCAATAAATAAACAAATTAGGTCAAATCTTAAAATGTAATACAAAAAGTAGGTGAAGTGGATAGATATAATCAGAGTTCAAATAGACAAATATCATAAAAGTATGAAGGGGATGAAAAATAAGAAAGGGTGCGTGGAAGGGTTTTGAATAGAATTCACCTAGGCTAAGCAAGGGAGAGACAAAGGTAGAACAAACTTCTCTTGTCGTATGCAAAGACACTAGGATTGTTCTCTCGAATTAATTCCCATAACTTCTTCGGCTATGTGTAAAAGACGGGTTCTGATTCCGTTCGAAAGGTGGTTCGATGGAATGCGATAGATAACTTTGGAGGCGGCACTATTTTTGTCCACTTGGTGACCACTATCATCAATCAAATGAGCCGAAATAGAACTTCGTCTAGATTTTATTTGACCTTTTCCGAACCATGAAGAAAGATGCTCATCAATGCGTTTGTTAAGCTGTCTAGTTGTTCGCCCTATATAGCCAGCTCTCTCCACAGGAGCAACCAAATTTATAGATACACATAGAAGTGGCACAGCTAGGTAGCTTATCTTTCACTTGAGCAATCAAAATTGGTCGCCAGCTGGAAAATGACAAACAAAGGGTGGTGGCAGTATAAGTCCGGTTTATCGCTCCCGATAATCTCAGATGTAGGAATTCGCTAGCCACGTCCCAATTGAATTGCAGTTTCATGAAAAGTTGTTTTCCTTTTTTAACTGTTTTGTCAGTTTTTCTTTTTTATACCTGGCGTTCATGTGTCTCCTTACAAATCTACAAGGATAACCCATTTGGACCAGCGTATTTTGGATGTATCCTAGCTCATTTTCTAGGGAGTCATCTCTACAGATACGTCTTGCTCTATTCGTGAAACGGCATCTGACCAAATTGTATGTGTGTGTGCACATGAGATTTGTAAAGTTTAGATAATTGATCAGATAATACAAGAATGATCTAATATAGAAACATAGTTAATTGGACAGCAACTAAAGTGAAACTGAGTTAGTCAGTTAGATGACGTGATATATATAATTGACTAACATGTTTCAACCTAGGTCAGGTCAGCAACAGAGGTAATTACAAGCAGAGACTAAGTAAAAGTGAGCTAGATAATAATGCCATTTAAATTAGAACTGAAATTGAGCAATTAATTTGGATGACTTAACATAAATGACTACAAATTGAGCGTTGGTCAAATCAGTAACAGTAGTAGTGAAGTGTAGAAATGAAATCGGGTGAGGGTAGAGATCAAGAATTTTGAAAATGTAAAATATTACAATTATAGAGACAAAATACTACTACTGAAAAGACGGAAAGGAGTAGAATTTACCTGTCGGGTATTAAGACACTACGTCCATCTCAAGTGTAGCGATTAAACGAACTTCTTCTGTGTGCAGAGTTCAGGGCTTAGCAAGTGAATTGCCACTGCTTTTGTAGTTTGAAGAAGTCATATGCCTGTTGAACTCTGCATACAGAAGAAGTTCGTTCAATCACTACACTTGAAATTGACGTAATGTGTCTCAATACCCGACAGGTAAATTCTACTCCTTTTTGTCTTTTCAGTAGTATTACTGTCTTTACAATTGTAGCATCTTACATTTTACGAATGAAAATATGGAATTATGTAAGAGGTCTAAAAAGCGCAAATGTTATAAGGAGTTAGAGAAAGAAAAAAATGTATAACAAGCACACAAACATCAAGTCAGTAGAAGTCAAAAAGCTTGTTACCATGATGGCAGATGGGGTTGGGTGATTGATTTTCACTTTGAAGCAGGAGGCATTTGTTGAGATGGAATGACCAGTGTTGATGAGATATTCGATTATCACCTTCCTTATACCGCGATTATTACCTTTTTGTAGCTATGTGGGATAGTGTCCTTGAACCCTTTTAGAAAAAATACGGGTCGAAATGTCAGTGTACCTGGCTGGCTATACAGCAACAGGTGAACTTATATATATAGAAGTGGCCAATTACGAGATCATGTCCTTAAGACTTCTGTAGGTCCATGGACGACTGTAGAACACTACTCTTAGCGTTGCTGCGAAGAATGCCCCTTCCAAATATGCTAAAGTTCTTCTACATCGCAAGCTAAATCTCCCTTGAAATCCAGATTAATGTAGAGTATCATTTTGAAACAAGTGATGATTCGTTACTCTAGAACTTTGGTTTTATATTCTTGTCGACGAGTCTCGGTGGATATCCATGAAGAAGGAAGGTTTTCTTTTTCAGCTCTGCTTCCAGGGTGTCAGGACTGCGGATACACCGGATCCTAATGGCAAGGGATTTAATCAATAGGTACCCCACTGTCAACACTTGTCAGTTGGTCGTTACAAGTGGGCCTTCTATAGATTGACCTTCTTAGGCTTACGTTGAATTGTCTTGTTAGTTTCACTTCAAGAAAGGGAATCTGGGATTCGCATTCCATTTCTAAAGTGAATTTCATTGCCGGTTGGCAGTTGTTGAATAGTTTTAGCCACTGACTGTGGTTGTAACTATTGCCGCAAAAACGACGAAAATATCATCTACGTATTGTTGACTAACAATAATAACTATGGGTTTTTTTCGAAAACACATCAGCACCACCCTCTTACTAATCCTTACCCCCTTCTAGTTACAGTTTGACTACTGATCACATTTTCGAAATGTCTTGAAAACAACAACAACAGCAACACTAACTTAGTTGATTCCTATGGTAAAATCCCAATGTACACACATAGGCAAAATAAGTATATACTGCTATTATTGTTCCCTTGGGTTCCTAGTGGAACATAGGGCTTCAACTGCACGTCTCCACTTGCTTTTGTCTGTCTTCTGCTGTACTTTTCACCTGCATCCATGTTACTCCGTACTGTTTCAACTCCTCCAACTAACACGATCTCCTCCATGTCACCCTCGCACTGACGACCGACTCGCCGCGTGCTTACCTTTCGGCCTGGTTCCACTCGAGCAGTGGCCTGACGCGCGCGCGATGCCACCCAGCGGCGGCCTCCTCAGCGAGTGTCCAATTCATCTGCAATTTCTCCTGCATATTTGATGTTGTTGGGCGATTGGTTCTTGTTTTGTTTTGTTTCTTCCCATAGTTTCTTGTTGTTGGTGATTCTTTCCGGCTCAGCCGGCCATCTGATCTTCAGGATAGATCCAGCGAAGACAGTTAGTTGTTGATAAAGGTAACGTCTGCAACAGGCTGTTGGTGGAAATATTCGTTGTGACTCACCCGCCAAGTTTCTCATCCGTTCTATACAGAAGAACTGACTGACTTGACGTGTTTGTATTGAAAATCCGACGGAATTTCGTTGCTGATGCTGTCTGAGTGACGAAGATTGGTTTCCAGATTGGTTTCATGTTGATGAGTGAATGTGTTTCTCGCCTCAATTTGACATCGTCATCCGTTCCGACTTCCTGTAGTTGAGACAATGCTCCCTAGATAAGTAAGTGAATGAAGTAGTCTCTTTCAAATCCCTCCCGTTGATGGTGATTAGCTGCTGGCTGGATGTTTCTGCTGTTGTTGTTGGTTGTTTGGTTGGTTATTTTCATCACATCCGTCTTGTCTATGTTTACCTGGAGTCCTGTCTTCGCCGGCTGCTTCTTCGACCAGTTTGTCGGTTTTCGCTTGTAAGTCTTCGATTTCGTGTGACATCGAACATAAATTATCGCCGCGCGAAATCCAGGTCTTCTAGGTTCTTCACGTCGGTCCTTGTCTTCTCGCTTCCCACTATCTGACGCATAATCCAGTCAGTCCACCACAATTAGGAATATATATATATATATATATATATATATATATATATGATTGCGATTGTACAGCTAAATGAATGATTGAATTCACCGCGGAAAAGAGACTGTTCCCTGAACTACACGTTTTATTTTCATCAATCTATGTGGTAAAAAGTCAATCACTAAGAATTCAAAACCAACCAGGATGACATCCATTAGTCGACCCATAATGAAACTAATTAGTGGTGACGATAGGCTTGAAAACCAGTGGTCATCGTCAGTTCAAATTACAATCCGTCATAATATCTCATCCGGTTGTACTAGTATGAACAGATTTTGGCTATATTTTATGATTTTTCAGCATTTTCATCACAGTCTAACATAGCGAAAATGTCTCCAGCTCGACAGAGTCAGACGCTTTTTTCAAGGTAAGAAGTATAATGCACGTCAGATACAGAACGTCCAACAATCGTGCTCTTTGTCGAGGTTCAGTTTCCAAGTGATGTACTCTGAAAACTCATCTACACTTTACTGACCGTCATTAAGTCTAGAAAAGAGGAAATCAGTGGGAGTAGGAACAACGCAATCGGTCACGTAGACGAGGTCACGTAGATACGATCGCAAATGTATACAAAGAGAAACAGGTGAATGTCAGCCAGTGTCGGAATGCTAGACAGCAAGAGAAACAAACAAAGCCACCAGAACCAAGAAGATAGAACCAAGTTCAATCGAAAGTCTTTGACGCGGCGACGACGAGTGTATGTTGAGAGCTGTATGCAAGCCGAAATTCTAAACAACAATTTACTTCTATTATTGAATTGAATTTTTGATTTTCCCGTCGATTGATTAGACCGAAGTGCTCGATCTCAGGTTGACATGTCGGCTTCTTGTGCAGATGCTTCGACGATGTCTGGGTATTTAATTCGTATACAATTGGTGGATGGTGGCTAGCACTGGAATCCAGGATGCTCATTTCGTCCTATTTGGGACTCGTCAGCTGGATGTACCTGCATTTCTCAGTGAGTGATGGTGTTCCCACTGAGGCTCGAACCCAGTGCCCATAGTTTCAAACGCCAAAGCGTTATCCACTAGACCACTTGGATTCGAGCCTCAGTGGGAACACCATCACTCACTGAGAAATGCAGGTACATCCAGCTGACGAGTCCCAAATAGGACGAAATGAGCATCCTGGATTCCACTGCTAGCCACCATCCACCAATTGTATAACAATTTACTTCTATATTCAAGTCCTGAATCAGGGTCATGAGAAAAAATAAGAACAAAGCCTAACCTTGAGGAAATCAACAACCAATCACAGCAGACTTAGCTTGTGCAAATACGATTTGCAGATATATGGATCACGTTGTAAGTAACCGTCACAAGCAGTAGAGAATAACCTTCAGCAAAAAACAGCCAATCAGAAGGCATTGCTTCTCCGCTGACAATAATATTGTTGCTAATCATTTCTGGTCATCTAGTTTTCAGTAATATATTCAAAGAACGTAGCTACTGATAAGAATCTGAGACCTGTTCGAATGGTTAATCTATAATGTGAGACCATAAATTGACTAAAATCAGCGATAAATCAACTCCTCTGAGCAAGAATTCCAGATCCTTTTTTAATAGGGCAACATTTGAGATGTCTCTTCGATGCCTAAGTTCAGAGTGAATCAATTATTTGGAAAAAAATTCAAAAAACAGCAAAATATAAAATTGCATAACTTGTTTCAACCTGAACCAACCTTTTTTAAAACTAATTATAGAAAATTAATCTGATGCTCGCTAGTGACTTGCTACAGGATGGAGTTTCCTGGAGTTAGTTCTAGTGAGAAGTCGTGACCATTGTGAGGTCCAACCAGTAGTCAAGTGTGAGGATGGATGTCCCGTTGATGATATTGGTTAGTGCCAGTCGCGCTGAATGCATCACAAATTGGTAGAAGTTAGAATTCATGGGTTGGCTGGCTCGCCTTGTAACCGGAATCTCCTGAGCTCGAACCCTGGTGAGGGTGGGTGTATACTGCCGATGATTCTCAAACTAGTCTGAAGAGACATTTATCTGGTAGTACTGCCTGTGGCTGGTTTTCAATGCTTCTCTAACTGATGTTAATCCATGCGTGGTCAAACTCGTAAAAACAAAAAATAACCCTTAAAACCAACTGTAGAAATAAATAAATAAATAAGTTAGACAAAGCAATAAGAAGACATAATTTAATGTAAATAATAAGTTAGTTAACTACTTATAAGTAGTACAAATGAAATCATTCACCTTCAGAGCATTCATAAGTATTCTTATATCATCCAAGTCATTAATAGGTCTTGATAAAATTTTGTCATATTTCTCAATCATTGCAAGCAGAGATTCTACTTGTTTTTTGAACTTGGAATTACACAATCTTCCATATTCTAGTCGCCAGTTACTGGTTTCTATAAGTAGACCTTCTTTTAAGCGTTCTGTATTAATGGCCAGAGGAGTGCAGTCACAAACTTCCGGTTCAGCAAGGATCAATTCATCCTATATAATAGTAATAATAATAATAATGATAATACGAAAACGATAAACAAAAAAATACAGAAACCAAGAAATTTCATTATGAGCTTATATGTGTATTTCAGGAGGCACCCAGACCTTGGAACATGTAGAATACTAAAGTATTTACTATTAAGGTTGCGAGAAATCTTCGCTTGGTGTTTTTCGTTGTGGTCGGTGCAAAACACTTTTCCCTAACCCCATGATGCTTGGAATGAGGGAAATAGCTTTCACAAAAAAAGCGAAACATGCAGAAACAACACTAAGGGAGTTCTCACCAAAAGATAACCAAAATATTTATTTCCCGATACGAACTTAAAACAAGCAATAAAGGTAAATTGTGCGTCGGTGGCATAGCGGTTAGGACGTTCGCCGATCCCCGGCCGACGCACTCCTTTACGTCGCTCGCTAAGCCAGGAATAATGCTGGTAAAGGGGAAAGGTTGAGCATGAGGCTGGCTAGCAACCCCATCCTGTAAAATTAAAAACACCGCTACAGAAACTTCCAGCCATTAGCTTGAAGCCCTATGTTTCACTGGGGAACGTGAAGAAAAAAAAGGAATTAAAGCAAGATTTATCCTTAATGCTTTATTAAACTTTATTGCTTGTCATAAAAGAAAAATACCTACTAACGGTCTTCAAAAAGAATGGATATCCACTAATTTTCATCAAAAAGTGTTTAAAATCGAATGAATCACAACACCAACAAGGAACCATTATCAAAGACCACAAGGAAACTCATCCTACCATATATAAAAGCGAAAATATCTCTGAAATAACGGCTAGAATATGGAAACCGTTTGAAATAGATACATATAGCACACAAGCCAGCCAGCCAGCCAGCCAGTCAAATCACTTCATTCGATATTCTGTAAACCGAAAGACACATCCAACAGAAAAAGGAGATAAAATTAATACCATTTACAAAATAAATTGCATGTATGAATTGTAACAGACAACACATCGGTGGTTGAAGTGGGCGTCCCCAGGGCGTCGAATCAGAATCCAGGAACACAAATCAGCTGTGAAAAGACATGACATGACATATATATTCCTGTTTCATATCAACCAATGCACATAAATAATTACGGACATCCGTTTGACTGATAACTGGGATAATGTCGAAATTTTAGACAGAGGAAACACCACTGAAAGTGCAGTCAGGGTATTCCTAGAAGCCTGGTACTCAAATGAATATGTTAATATAGACCAAATATACGAACTAATAAAAAGTAGATCACGTGACGAGAAAGTTTCAAATCCAAGTGAATAATCAAAATGATCAATACATATGTAATGATGGTTACCGGGAGACACAATTCTATCACCACTCATGGAAAAACTTAAATCAGTTTACTTTATGCTAAGAATTCCGCTGAAGGGAGATGTTGTCCAGCTTGGGGGGGGTGACGAGAGCTCCACAACTAAACCAACCAGCTCAGAGAACACTAATAAATGAAGATAACTGTTCAAACTGGCAAATGATTGTCATATGCTCTTTAGGGTTTGTAGTCTTTTTCACCAAACTACAATACTCAAGTATTGGTTTGTAGGGATTTGATTGGTTTGTCACAGGATTTCATCATGAACACTGATATCGGTTAGAGAACCCTCAGAAGACCTACAAGGAGTACTGGACAGCTGTTTCGTTCTAGTTTGGGACTTTCCCTTCATCAGTACGAAACCACCCCACTGGGGGTCGAACCCAAGAGCTTGTGGTTACAAGGCAAGCTAGCTCGTATACCGCTCAGCCACTCACTGGGACCCGATCCAATGGCGAGCCAGTCCATGAATTCCAACTTCTGCTAATTCACGACATGGCACAACTGGCACTAGCCGACATCTTCGGCTAGTATTTGTCCTCCCACTCGACCTGCTGTACTCTACTGTGCAATACTCCCAGGTTTTCGATTGGTTCTGTAACCAATGTCATCTCCTAATAAAATCCTGTAACCAATCAATCAAATCCCTACAAACCAATACTTGAATATTGATGAGATGCTCACTGGCGATTGGCCCTATTCAGGTAGGTAGTTAACCTGGTGTTCTAGTGGGTAGTCGTGACCAGTAGAGTACAGCAGGTTAGGTATGAGGAAAAGTACTCGCCGAAGACAATGGCTAGCGGTCATGTTGTCTTATGTGAATTGGTAGAAGTTAGAATTCATGGGCTGGTCATTGGATTGGGTCGGGTTCCAGTGGCTCAGTGGTCTACAAGCTAGCTTGCCTTGTAACCAGAAGGTCCTGGGTTCGACATCCAGTGGGGTGGGTGAGTACAGTTGAAGCGTTCCAAACTAGGACGAAACAGCTGTCCAGTACTCCCAGTGGCAGGTTTTCCAATGGTTCTCTAGCCGAAGTCAGCTCATGATGAAATCCTATAACCAATCTACACTATCTCAGAAGTCTTGGTCACAGTTTTCAAACCTCCTACACACTGATATCTGACTCATAGATATAACATTTAGTGTAAGAGGTTGTTAATTTGTAGTAGTAGCAAGAAATGAGCATAATAAAGTGTTAGATATTCTATGCAGCAAATCACTGTCCTGGAACTTATCTAAATGATTCTCGGGGAAGAGTTAAATTTTTAGGCACCAGTAAGTACCTACGGAAAAAATAACCTTGAACCCACCAACCACATGATAAAGGCATGAAACTTCTACACAGACAGGATAACTTTGTCCGACATGTGACAAAAATACCAGCCACCTTTGGATCGGAGACTTCTAACGCTAACAACAAACCTAATCTTTCCTTTACCTAACCCTAACATGAAAATATCCCGAAACCAACCCTAATGTCGTCGTCGTTAGGTTAACCTAAACCTAACGATAGAGCACAGAAACTAAGTAGTACCAAGGAATATCTAAGACAGGAAGTGAGACACATAAAAGAAGCCTTGAAACTCAATAATTACCTGGATAAATTAGTCAGGAAATGTGTAGGGAAATGTCAAAATAAAATAAATAATGACAGTAGTGATAGTGATAATAATCATAATAATATTAATGACTACATGCAATTCAAATATGCGCAAGACAACACCAACAATAAGGAATCTAAATCATCAGTTGTAATTCCATACAAAGAAGGAACCTCGAAAACCACCATACACAGAATTCTTAACAAGGCAGGCAGGAATAAAATTAACTGGCATTCAAACCAACCACAAACGCAATTAGAAACAAGCTTTGTCGGTTAAAGGATCAATCCTGCCAGTGGAGCCTTTAAAACAAAACAATTTAGTTTATTTAATCAGTCAGTCAAACTAGCCAAACATAAAAACCTAACAAAATCTAGATTAGCTAACTTGAATAAGATAAGAAATCTAGAGAAAAGTTGAGCTTTACCACTCACTACATGCAGTTACACACAACCATACAATGGGATGGATGGGATAAAATGACAGTATTAAAATTTAATGTCACAACTGGGTGTAGGGAGTGAGAGATTGATAACAACGGAAGCTTTGTTTATCGAATCAACTGCAAAACAACACGTGTAATAAGAATGATTCAACACCTGTCCAGCCAGATATCTGGAAAATTCTACTGCCCCAATGACGACGACAAATAGGAGAGGACAAAGAAGACTATAAAACTCAAGTTTCGAAGTCCGTGAGATTATAATTGATGAAATGATTATGAACAGCAATATTGAATTTTGTTCGAAACGTCGTTATCCAGTAAATACCAATACTGTGTGATACATCTAATAAACAAACTAATATGGAATTACTTGCTACCAGCACATTGCCCAAGTTTTACACATATATTAACCTAAACCTAATATGTCCTTGTGCGTCGGTGGTATAGCGGTTAGGATGCTCGCCGACCATGCATATGGTCCGGGGTTCGATCCCCGACCGGCGCACTCCTTTACCTCACTGAGCCAGAAATAATGCTGGTAAAGAGGAAAGGTTGGGCATGCGGCTGGCTAGCAACCCCATCCTGTAAAAATTAAACACTGCTACAGAAACTTCAGGCCACAGGGAAACACGCTTTACACTGAAACTAGTTCAAAATTATTACGTAAAAGCAAGAAGTTACAACCAATTCATGGGGAGAAGACTCTGTAAAATCAGGATTCTGGATAAGACCAATATTCATTTCAAGTATTCAGAGGAAAGCAGTTTTTCGAACACTGTCTCATGAGCAATATATGGAAAGTGGAAACGATCAATAACGACGTCAAGATAGACACTCATAAGAATTGTTTGAAACCACTTATGTCAATCAAAGTTCCTCGTAAGTTAAACGGAATATAAACTTCCAAACGGCCATTTACTGTCACTGCCAAAAAAAAAACACACACAACTGAAATGCGTCACTAACTCCACTGTGTGAGTGGATTTTAACCAATATTCACCACCCCCTCCCACACACATGCACACACCAAAAAAAAAGAATTTTGCCGTGTGATTCTTCCCTTAGTTTAACGTGACTGTCGTATTGTTGTTAAACACACACTGGAATTTTTCGTCTAAAGATTTTGGCTATAAAAGGCGAGAGAATTATCTGTCATCAGGCTTAGAATAGGAAATATCATGGTATGAAGCTTCCACAATCTTTTACTACTCAAACGCAAAAGTATACCACTTGCTTAACAAAAGAGTTAGATAAAACTCACAACTTAATAAACAACGTCTTCAACGACATCAAATTTCACAAGAGAAGAGGAATACGAGAACAAAATTCCACTTTTTGGACGTCTCAGTCAAGAGAACAACCGCAGGGGAATTAGAAAATCAACTCACAATTACAACAACAGCAACAACAAAATGAAACACAACATGAATTCCATACAAACATTATTCAAGAGGGCCAGGACTTATTGCAACACTCCTACCTTAAGGAAAATTGAAGAAATATATCTCATGGATATCCACGGAATTTCATCAAAAGACATCTACCCCGAACCAACCTACTAAGTCAAAGGCCCACAAGGAAAGGACAAAGAGAATTGCCCTACCATTTATATATACAAGAC